TTGGCGGCCGCATTTCGATGGAGGCGAAAGGCTTCTGCGCCTATTATAATTAGGTGCATGTTAAAAGAGCCCTAAATTTCCAGAGCCCTCCACTATGGCGTCCCTCCGTATACACATTTTGGTTTTGGGACATTAAACCCCAGCAGTTATCTCCTTTGTAGTTGACTGCTTCGAATGCCGTCGTTCCGGATTGCATGCAGACTATGCGTAGCATTAAAAATTTAAGGTACATAATTTGGGCTCAGCGCAATGTTGTGGACGAATTTGTTTACGGATAGTGAGTAGGATAATACCCGTAAAGGTGATCACTTGTTTAGAGCCGGAGGAAGGAACAAAAACTAGTTTTACTAATCACTATACTCTTTATTGCTCCGGAGTGCAGCGTCCAAGACTGGGCAGGCAACTTTGGCGCGCCCATTGATCTCCACTATAACTTTCGCCACGGGCTACACTCGGCCGTGCCTCATCAGCGTCTGGTGTGGTTGCAACTTCGAGCGCGCTTTTCCTTTTAGTTTATTCGCCCGTTCGCTTTGCTTGGCTCTATTCGGGTGCGCCGATGGTGGCAGCCCCCATTCTGGGAAAGGTGGTTGAGGAGGGCAGCCTCAATTGGACGCCAGTTGCGCCATAAATGAGTGGGCAGCGCTTGCGTTCCCCGCAATCGGCCATCTTGCGCGCACGTGACTTGACCGGCTGTTTTCGGAGAGGCGAAGCGACAATCGTTTATGAGCAGGGAATTGAGCTAGGGGCCATGATTCGGTCTCCCTACAACTTGTGGGTTTCAGCGACAAATAGAAGTAGAGGGTCTATTATGCCCGTACTAAATACGACAAAAAATGCACCGTAAGCGAATATTAAATTTAAAAAATGACCCCTAGGAGTGAGTCGCTGTCTATAAACCCCGCTATGGCCCCGCCCACCGCCGGCGAACGCCATTTTGCCATGGCGTCATGCGCTGCATGAATCGGAGCCGTCGTACTCTGTTACTTTCAGCTGCCGCTGGTCTCTTGGTTATGGTACTTGTCTGTTTACTTGAAGGTCGTGGGTTCGAATCCCGGCCACCGCCATTTCGATGGTAGCGACTGCAATTTCCGGAGCCTTCCGCTACGTACGTACGTCTCTTATAATCACATCCTAGTTTGGGAACGTTATTTTTATTATAAAAAAGCATATCGACAGGTAGGGTGCGCGAATTTCTCCTTCCACGCATTCGAAGTCTAACAGGTGATTCGATTGAGTGAACAGTGGGCCACGCGCAGAATGAGGCAGGATGCTGTCCAAACTACGCAGGAGCGAGCTCGCTTCGCAACTTTTTTAGTGTGAGCAAGCAAACAAGCGTGTACGTGTGTGTGTGGGGGGGGGGGGGGGGAGATGTGTATCGCGTGAATGATGTAGATGTTTTAACTCAAGTCGTTTCAACAATGCCCTTCCTCATCTTACGCGTGGCCCCAGGACACGCGTAAGGACGAACGAAGCGCATCGAGGCACCCTACATGCGTACGGATTACAGCGCCCACCCCCCTTTTCACCTTTCAAGGCCATGTGCACGGTTCTGCGCACGTGCCCGTGATTGCTGATCGGTTATTTCGGCAGCTGCGAAGCCGTTTGTAAGGATATCGCGCATCATATCGCGACTCCAACTAAGCGCTCGCCACTTAGCGGCCGCGCCTGGAAACGGCGCTAACAGGGTCAACCTTGAAAGGAGCTATGTTATCACCATAGGCTTTTCTTTCCTCCTTCGTTAACCTCATCTGCCTTTCTTCTCTATTTATATATATCTCTCTCCTTCCTCCATGGTTACCACGTTGCGCGCGTTGAGAAGAGACCGCATAGCCCCCCTCCCTTTCTTTTTTCGGCATGTCGCAGCGCGTGAGACCGAGAAAGGAGAAAGCGATGTCCAGAAACCATTGAAGTGTGCCGCAATGCTTGGCATCGCGGTGGAAAGATGACAACGTATCGTTATGTCACTTCCCGAAGGTTACAGACGACACGCGATGGAGAACGGTGCAAATCAGAAACTGACGCATTGGAAAGCAGGTGACGGACACTGCGGTAGTTTGTTGTAATCAATTCGCTCACGACTGACTCAATTCTTTTGGGTGATTGCACCATTACGTAGCGTGTGTACATTCTTGTCAATATTCGGCCTTCTCAATAATCAAGGAGCGAAAAAAAAAACTCGCTTTAGGAAATTTGTTGTTACCTTACGTTCGTGAGTGTATTTTTCGCATACGCTCGTTTTCTGCACAAGTCGTAGTGCTACCGATTCTGAATTAAGCTGCGGTCATTTTTTTTATTTCGCGTTTTTGTAGCGCGCGAAAGGTCGCGTGTGCGTGTATGTAGTGTTCGTGCGTAGATATATCAGGTCCGTGCATTCATAGCGTGCGTAGTATGAGTGTGCATGTACCCTTCGTTGAACATCACCTACTACCTACACGAACAAGTGAATGTTGGGAAGCGCACAACCTTATTAATTAAAAATCTAAAACGAATGTAAAGAAAGCAGCACACCTATTACAATCAAAAGTGCAATTTGCTTTATCTCAAGATGCATTGGCACAGGCATAGCTCAGTTCTGTAATCAAGTGACCGGCATGCGTATTCCCATACATAGTACCTACAACAAAACTTTGGTGTTTATCATAGGCATGGAGAAATGCTGCACTTGGGCCTTGCTTTGATTCTGGCTTAATTTTGCCACTAGTGGATCTTAGAAATGTCCAGAAAAATTACTGTGGAGCACTATTTTCCGGTTTTATTAGAATGAGCACCCAACCGTTGCCAACTGAAGTTGTATTAGGGGCAGCACACATATGTTGGGTTTTCATGCTTTTGCTGGCGTATGTGCAAGTTTTGTTGACTTAATTGAAAACACGCACACCGCTTGCACTCAGGTGTTCTTTGTTCACCCACTTTTTGCTTTAAATCTCGCGTTCCTTTGTTTACCCAATTTTTGCTTTAAATACAGGTGACGACTTCGACGTTCCCGCGTCAACTTCTTATTGCATCTTAGTTATTGCTAGTGACTGATGGGGTCTACAGATTGCATCGCATTGTGTTAAAAGGGAGGCATACCTGCTTAAAGCACCCTTGAAAGCGAAAGTCTCGTTTTCAGCTTTTTCTTTCTTGCCGCAATTTGTAGCTAGGTGCCTGATTATCCCAAAATTGAACCTAAATGCTGTAACGCATTGTATAGTTAATGCTAGCTTTATTACTTGAGAACAATTTTGCGTCTGTTCGAAATGTCCTCCTAAATATCATAACAAACTAGCACCCCACAGCAAGGGAGCACGTGAGACCACATCCGCTCTAATATGGTCTCCGAGATTGCCCACCGGCGCAAAGTCTCGAGGACCATGTTTGAGCGCATATGGTCTCACGCACTCTCCCGCTGTGGGGTGCTAGTTTCTTATGGTATTTGGGCCATGACTCATACTTCAGGCACGCTTAACATGCCACTTTCAAATCGGTGGACCTGTGCATCCTGAAGAATAAAGCAATGTGGGTGCTTTGAGCGTGCCTCCCTCAGGAAAAAGAAAATCATTATTGGCATAAGCCGCCAAAACTACTTTGAGAGCAGCTCGGCCACAGTGCAAGAGCGGTGACGAACAATAGTCCTCGGGGTATTGAGCAGTCGCTGCAAATGTTCTCTGACGTCGATAATACTTGTTTTACTCATGGAACATCACAGGGCCTCAATCTACGTCATACCCATGGCGACATCGCGAAGTGCAGCCAACTCAAATAAACACTCGCGTGTACATTGAAACCGAATTAAAATATCTTAGAGCTAACTTGGATCTAGCATTAATAATTTGTAAGTGCCCCTGTATACAGGACAGTCAAACACGAACAAATTGAGATGTGTTTGAGTGTCATTTTGAGCTCTGTATATTGCAAAAAAAAAGTACCTAGAGGGAGGGGTGCACAGGCCCAGTATGCCACCCCCTAGCTACGCAATTGCCCCCCCTCCCCCTCCTCCCAGAGAAGTTTCTACCTATAACCTGAGCGGATAGTATACGCGACACCAACGCTATCTGAGCACTCGAGAAAGTGCCAGTGTCCCACTCTTTGTTCACATCTCGTATTGCTCCCTCTCGGCGGGATCACTCTTTTTAGGCCTTGCCAGGGTAGTGTTCCCGTTATAACTTTCCCGGCCGGCGCAGTCGTGTTTTGTGCAGGCTCATCTATTCTTGGCTTGGGGGTCTGCTTCTCAGCTCAGATTAAAATACAGCTACAGCACGGTGTCGTCTTCATTTGTCGACAGCAATGCTTGTGCAGCTATGTCACTGGTCCTTGCGTGTACTGGCTTGTCTGCCTTGAAGTGGCCACATAATAATGCCTGCGTTTCAGCCATTATATGCAATGAAACCATTGGCAATGGTCTTGTCACGGGGAAGCGATTAAGTGGCAGGTCAAGGTATTCCCGAGTGTAGCAGCTGGCCGTCATTGTCACGAAAGATATCAAGGCTGCACTGGTGTAGGTACATACCAAAGCCATGTAAGTTGAGCAACAGAGCTGGTCACTTGCCATTGACAGTCTTACATTGGAAACTATCGAAACCAGCACTGGTTTCCTAGGAAGTGGGACGAAGTGAAAAAATATATAGCTAAAGTGGGACATCTTGGGCTGTTAGTTGCAGTCCTTGAAACATAGCTTGTTGGCCCAAGTTAAGAAGACATTTGAGAGGACAACATACACACAGTGCCTCACATGCGTCTGCCACGTTATTTCCTTGTTGTTTGCCTTTTTTGTTTGTTAACTTGAGCACTTACAAAGTATGCTTAATGTGAAAAGATGGCTCATTTTGCACCGTCCCAAGTATCGTGACCCACATTGTGTGCCTCACAATATTCAGTCCTCCCGCACCATACCGCACACTCTGTGCAAACACGCTATGCCAGACCAATGTGTATCTGCGTGTGTGTGTGTTTGTGTGTGTCTGTGTGTCGAATGTGCTGTTGTTTCCCTCGTGTCACATCCTCTGTCTGTCCCTTTGTAGGGGGTTCCACGCCAACGCAATCAAAGCCCGCTCCATTCAAGAGCAGTGGCATCGTGTCAGGTGGGCTGCTGCCTGCCCCCCCCCCCCCCCCCTCCCAATGCCTTCTGGCAGCTAGCCTTTTGCACTTCCCACACACCATATTTACCCCTGTTTTGCCACTCTTGTACTAACAGTCAAGCCTGGCATCTCTTCTCTATGAGAAGCAGCGCTGTCTGCTGCTTTGCACTCTGGGGTCTACCAACTGCTTTTTTCTACCAAATTATATTAGAGCCTGAAGCACAAGCTACATTCTTTTGAATTTATTAAGGCTGCAGTAAGCTTGGGCAAAGCAACTCCAATAGCGCCAATCATGTTCTTGGAAAGAAGAGGGTGATAAACAAGAAAGCTAACATCAGTCATTACACTTCTGAAAGATAACTTCCCCTGCATATAAGACAGTTGCTTAAAGTCTTTATAATAGGCCATCATGATGGCCCATCTTAAATATGAAACTGTATACTTGGATGATCCAAGAAATCTATGATGCTCAAGATCTCAAAAATGAGAAATATTCAATATTGTATTCGATGGCCTTCACAATTACTGCTTTAGCAGTATCGATCTTATGATTGTTGAAGGCTTAATTGGTAATTGTTATAATAAAGTTAAATTCGTTAACATTTCATTTGGGGGAGTTAGGCAGTCATGGCAAATAGGAGAATTGAAGTCCTAATGTGAAAAACCCACTGTACCTTTTAGCATTGGAAAAAGTGGCCTCTAGTAATAATAGCAAAGTAATGAAATTCTTCCTAATTAAGCACAAAAGTGAAACTCGGAAGTACACAACTGCCATGTTTCTCTGACACATTCAAAATGAGTGAAAGTTCTTATATCAACCATCAAAATGACATTGTTGTGTGAGTGTCCGGGCTGCGCTTGCATTTATAGCATGGGTGTACATGCATTCACGAACACGGAAGAACTACAGCTATTCATTGTTTTGAATGGTGACTCCAGTCTGGTCTGTTTGTTACGCTCATCAATACTCAGTTTTCAGTTTTGTCGTTGAATTTGGTTTAATTTTATTATACCACAATAATTACTAGAGGCCGTTCTTTTTACACTTCAATGCTTTGATGGGTTCTTCATATGAAGAACTTCAATTCTCTCAAATTAAAGTGTTAGTTTGACTTTCCTCATTACTGACCCTTATGGTGTCTTTGACCATCTTAAGGTGCCTGCCATTGCAGAAAAAGCAATTGTGAAGGCAGCGTGGAAATATGACATTTTCCCAATTTTCGAGGATTTTAGACACACTTTTTGAGACACTCTGTATAGTACAGGTGCTGTACACTAGGCAGCTGTCTGAAAAGCCGTGACATATTATGCATATTAAGAGTCTAGTTTAGGAGCAGCATTATGCTTTTAATGGCAGTTCGGTGGCTGTTCAGCCACTAGGACCATAACATATACCATTGGCCTTGCATGCCCACCTGCATTGCACTTTGCACAGCATTGCTTCGTGATTTCCTGGATTCATCTGTTTCTCCACTGCAGAATGGAATGGGCCTCATCTTGAGTATCAAATGCACTTACCTGCAGAATCATTCATTAATACACTTGAAAGAGATCAGAAGTTGTCAACACCTTTGTATTTGTGGGAGGACTCTGTACTTTAGATTGGGCCAACTTTTTACTCTATTACACAATTGACCCAAATTTGTGTGGCATATACGAGATAGTGCAGATAGGTAACTGGGCTTACTGGTTTGTTAACACAGTTCATTGAATTGGTTATTTCTAGTTATTTAGTACACATTTTGTTAGAGGTGAAGCGTTAAGTTGCATAGCCTTGCGTTTTGTATGCAAATTGCATAAATGTTATGTGCAGAACATGAACACAAAGAAGCATAGCCCTACATTCACGCTTTTTTTTCTATGCTCAGGGCAAGATTGAGCATCTCAAGTGACATGCTTTTACACATGTTTAAGCATGCAGAAAATATTTAATATGTGCTTCTTATACAAATACTATCATCTGCTTGAATGGCACTTAGTTGTTTAATGCTTGCAAAATAGGAACAGCATTGTAGCCACTTGCACCCATTAAGTACTGTAGCCTAACACAACAGATTGAGCGCTTAGCAACAGCTTGACTAAGGAATGCTTCATTGGCTGTTTTTTTTTTGTGAACTACTTATAGTAATAAATACTATTGGTGTGGCTTAAGAAGAAAAAAATGTTGTCTTTGCTTTGTGTTACGTGTACATGGAGTTTACTTCAACTCTGCTTTTCTAATACATGTTAAACTGAATATTTGTGAGTGTATTCATTCATATGAAAAATATCTCATGACTGTATGAAGAATTGCTGGCAAAGGATGTATATTAAAAAAATAATATAGCATGAAAGCATGTAATGCTCTTGCAATTGTGTTATATAATTTCAATGCAGTCCTTTGGTTTAGTAATAATTGACAACAGTAATCAGAATGTTCTGGGCAAATTTTGTGAAACCTTTGCCATCATGCAAATATTATTTTCTATAAGAAAGGTAATGTTCAGTTAAAATTTAGCTTTCACGGCAGAATGGCAATACTCAAAAAGGCAGAAAAAGTCTTTTAATGGGAAAGAAGGAAAAAAAGTGCGAAAGGCAATTACTATTATTTTTCTTATATTTGCTGACTAAAAATAACATATGGAAGCTCGTGGGAAACCTTCTAAGTTTTTAAGTTTCCCTTTTGTTCTGTATGCAGCACTATCCTGTGGTTCTGGTGTTGATAGGTGAATGTGTGAAATTGTGAGGTAACCTGGTGACTGCTTATGATGTAATTGGCGTTCATCACATTACTAAGATTTAAAATATAGTTTGGCAGTATTGATTGGGATGGGTCTTTGCAAGCAGTGCCTCACAGTGGAAACCATTTTTTAGGGTGACAGCAAGAGCTAGAATGCATCATGTTGGACAACTTGAAGAAAACTTTTTCATTTTCTACATTTGAGATGATATGAGTTGCCTTATATGGCTGGAGATGTCATAGTGTTACCGACCGACTGAGTTTGGCAGTATGGTGCATGCTACAGCAACACCAGTGATCACACTGTTCTTTTAGAATAATGATAAGGATTAAATGAAAAATGTTGTAAAAATAGTATTGAATATACTAGCTTGTGTGAATGTTTCCTTCAGTGATATTCCTTAGACTGCTATTATAGACATCAATTTTAAGCTTCTGTACTCTTGTGAACATATGCCATGCTTAGATATTGCAATATATAGTTTACTTTAGGCCCTTTCAATGCTAGTATGTGCAGAGATAAAAAAAGCTCTCATGCAGCACATAGTTATCATTTCTGATTCTTAGGCATGCACTATAAGTATGCCTAAGCTAGCTTCATGGTTTACCTACATTTGGAAATTTATGTCAACCTGTGTAGAACAATCTGTAAGGAGCATGGGATGAGAACAAGGTATTAAAATACAGTTAAAAATAAATGAAAGAATCTCCACTTTAACAGCATGCCAAGACTGAGCCGTAGCACAAATACATCTTTTAGCCATCTCTGCTGTTGAAGGTTGCTCAGAGTTGGAGAAATTTAGAACAACAATTAGTGTATAACTTCATAACTTCAAAAATATGTCATAATTGATAAACTTTTTGGGCATTACTGAGCTGGCTGTCACAACTCCCTGCTTTCTTGGAGTAGAATTTGTTAGCAAGTAATATTGTCTTGTCAACCCTTCGGTTTCAATCTTCTGAGTTTCATGTTGTCTTGCGCTTCTTGTGTATATTGTTTTCCCCAGTCTTTGTGTCGTCACACATGAACTCTGTTGTGTTCAGCTCAAATCATTTATATGCATCCACGTTGCCTTTTCTTTTTCTCTTTTTTTTATAGTTGAGAGGTTCCTTGAAGAGGCTAGGAAGTCCTTCGAACAAAAATGGACCAGTCCTAGTTCGGTGAGTGAGCTGTTTTATTCCATGCATAAGTTCAACAATACCAATATCTCAAACGTTCCTCTGTTCTGTTTCAATAAATAAAATGCTTGTTAAGAAAGTTTGTCACCAATAATAGTATAATCTTGCTCAAACAACTTTTCTATTTAACTGTGTTCATAATGGCTTGTGCTGTTTGTACATTATTTATAGCAAAGTTCTATTTGAAACAATATACAACATACCTTTTTCTATAGTAGGTTCAAGTACAAAAATAACATTAGCAAGGATAATATTGCTTAATGTAGATGGGTGCAGACCTCTATGTGCCAGTGTAATTTTGTAGGGTTCAAATAATGTGGTGTGAAATGAATTTCACTATAAATTTTTTGGGAGTGGTGCTGGAACCAAATTTTTCATCCCGTGCTTGTGCGGTAGATAAAGGGCCAATCCGATATTAACAAGCCCAGTTTTGGATTTGCAGTGAGACCAAGTTAAGGATGTAAGCTTTAAACATCTATTTGTTATACTCGGTGACAGCTTATCTTGACAATGGAGCGAAGGCTACGAAGGCAAGGCTTTTGCGTATTCGTGTTGCTCCGCAAGTAGAACAGCAGTTTGCGACTGATTTTAGTTTTGCTCGCTCACATTGTTGACGCATTTAGAAAATTATGCACACAAAAATGAGAATGCCAAAAACATTTCGATGGTTCACTATATTTTAGGGTCATATTGAGTGTACTTTTCACAGGAAAACTAAGCAGTGCGCTGTGGCCACACACTGACCACCTGCGTCATGGACGGCATGTTTATTTCGGAAAACAGATGTGCGGAAGAGGTGGTGCTGTCTGGAAAGGGGAAAGGAAAGGAAAACATTCTTGCAAAGTTAACAATAGCTATTTTACATACAGCTTCTTGCAACTCTTTATCTCATTATAAATAAAGCAACATTTATTTCAGGTTTAATGAGAAAATTATCAGGCAATCTTGAATACTGTTTTTTGGCATGGTCGCAAGCATGCGCTTCAGTTCTGGAACTTCCACACTGCTCTCAAGAAAAGTTCTCACCGAGTACTGTCTGCATCTACGTTTGTGTCCTGCCCCCCAGTGCTTTTTCATATTAACAGTCGAATGTATCCACTGCCTTCCTAGCATCAACTTTCTTATAATGTCCTCACTGTCAACTTACTGTGATTCTGCAGGATTACATTTTCTGAGCAACAGAGTTAGCATATTATTAACATAAAAACTTCTTTTACCTTTAATATCACTTTGACGAAGGCTGGCCCACCAGCCAACACAGATTAGTTTGTAGGAGGACTAAGATTTTACAGCTACCAAGTAGTTTGGCCACTGTCCACTTTAAATCTGTTTCAGCAGTATCAGCAAATGTTCCACATTCGGCTGCAGTGAATAATGATGGTAAATAAATCGATTTTGCATCGGCTTGGATGCACACACGCATGCACGCACGTGCACACGCACACGCACACACACACACACACACACACACACACACACACACACACACACACACACACACACACACACATGCACACGCGCGCGTAGAAGAGTGTAGAATAAAAAGTTCCGCAAGTTCTTTATTTGGTAGATGAGCTCGCAGTACATGTACGCATATTATTTCAATTACGAAAATATATGGCTTTTCCTACTGAACTGATTCCCAGTTTCTCCTAGAAATGACATTTTGCAGTCCATTTTTATCCACCTATGTATTTATACCTGGTACTTCCCTCTCTGTTCGTCACAATGAATGACACTGAAGCAACGTTACCATTTTCCAATATTGCAGTCTACTTCTGCTTTGCCATAAGGGTGAAATATGTTGTGCCACTGTGGCTTTCTGTGAAACAGTTCTTGTTTTTGAAATTGTACAGGCAATGTGCACTGCCTAATCAATCAAATTAATTCAGTTTAACTCTAGCAAACAAAACGCACTGTAAAATGCCTTCTTTTTGCCCAAGTTCGAGCTCAAGCGAGCTACTAATTTGCTTTTGTGCCATCTCCATAAAATGAACTTTCTCAACATCTGTCTCTTTGAAATTTGTGTTCTCAGTTTTCAGCTGTGCAAAAATTTTGTAAAAGGTGTGCTTAGGTTATTCCTGTGGTGTTTATGTAAAATGGCATTTGCCTTTGAGGAAGACCACGAATCTTCACCATGGCCCTCAATCATACTTTGTTAGGAAATTTTGCCGTATTTTCAATGGCTCAAGTAGCCATGTCAGGAAGCCCCTTTTGTGTAGGCGTGTGAATAAATTGGCCTGTTTTCCCTCGCAGAACACAGCCTGCCTGGATGACTTTGACCGGATCAAGACGCTAGGGACTGGCTCCTTTGGGCGAGTGATGCTTGTTCAGCACAAACAGCACAAGGACTATTATGCCATGAAAATTCTAGACAAACAAAAGGTGTGTGGCTAGCACGTCGCCAGCTTTTTTCTGGAAAAGGACTTGTTGTTTTCAAGTTGTTGGTTTCAGAAATGAAGGACATAGATGTTGACGCACAACACTTAGCATTGACAACTTGCTTTTCACACTGTTTTTGGATGAAACCAGGGTTGACACTGGTGGCTACTTTTCGCCGAATTGGCAAATTTGAGAGGCCCGTGGCGACCTAAAGTCAATGATTAGCGACATAGGCGATTGTTTGGCGATTTTCTCTTTTCTCAGCGTCCTCAAAACAAATGGGCGACAACACTTTTTTCTATTTTTTATAGTTTTAGACTCACCAGTAGGAGGTCCGCTTTGCGCGCAATTCAGTACATCTGTCCTGTTCCTCGTGTGTTTTTTCTCAAGTCATCAAGATCCTTGAGGCACTGGTGTGTCCACCATCAACCCCAAAGCACAATTTAGGTCAACGGACTTCTCGCGAGCCGTCAGGTGGTGGTGTGTACTAAGCTTTTTTAGGGGCTTCAAGAGCTTTAGGCTTCTTTAAAGTTTTCTTCTGAAGTGGCTAAGTAACAGTTAGGCCGCGTGTTCCAATCACAGCTCCAATTGTTCTGATTAGATTGTCGACTTCTTCCCGGCTGTAGTACCCTCTAGTTTTTTATGAGGAGTTAATATTTTTTATTAACATTCTTTTAGGGCTGATCAAGAAGTCAGCTTTTTTGGACAGCCTTCACAAACTGCACCGAGGCGAATGTTTAGCGTAATCATAACCGCACAGAAAAAGTGTTGTGTGCATTGCGATGGTTTCAAGTTTCGAGCTTTATTATTTTCTAAAAACAAGGTACAAAATCTAGGATATACAGACAAAGGTCCTAGAGCCAGAGACGTTGGTGGGACACTCGGTTTGTCGATACAAATCGACGGTAAAGTTTATGCAGAGCAACAGAAAATGCTTACAATATACACTTTTACATCACAAATCGAGCCCTACTTCGAATGTATCACCTTTGTTTTGTAACTGAGTTCAAACACATCGTTGCACTCAATGAAATTCTCGAAATTTGTAAAAAGGCTATGCACGCCTTCCTTCTCTTGTAGCGACTCCTTCACCTTGCATCCGCTACAACCAGAACTGTCGCAAACTTTTCTTATGAGGTGCCAGCATTCAGGGACGCAGATAGTGCATGCATGTCCTTTCTGAGTGCTACCACGGTGAAGCGGGTAATACAACTTTCATTAAAAAACGTCAATACAAATATAGGGTGACGGACAGTATTGTTGTCCACGAGGCTATACATAATTAGTAATCTCTATTACTAGGCAGCCCACACATATGTAGAGTGGCTACTTTTTTGGCGAAATTTGAAGAAAAAATTCCGCTTGTTTGTTTGCTTTGCATGTTTTTCAAAAAGTAGTGCATTTGTTCACAGGCTCTTGTTCAAGCTTTGACAGCACTGTACGCTTTTGCTAGCTTAAATTTGGGTAATTGTATGCTTTTTTTTTTCATTTTGTGTTACCTTGACATTACTATATGCCGAAGCTTGCCAAAACATTCCAAGTTCAGTCCTGGTATTGACTGTTAGTGGACAAGGTGTGCCTCACTGGTTCTGAGCATTGTCATTCATATGGTGGCTGCACAAGCTGCCCTTGATAGCTCCATCGTCATCATAATTTATTTACCCTTGAAGGCCCTTTTCAGGGTATTACTTAAGAGGTGGGGGAACAATAGCATCAATAACAAATGTCATTATAATACAATGATAAACAAAGGAGCAGACTAAAAGTGAAGGTTTGAAAAATACAGTAAACACGTTATAACTCGAAAAGCGAAATGTGACAGTGAAAAAGCAAAAAAAGATTGTTAAAAATGCCATCAAAACAGGTTGAAATATGTGATGCCCCTCTAATTATACTATTATTGATATTCAGCAAGGTTGAAATCTGGGCGAGTTTGTGATTGATGCTCATTTTGACAGAGACAAAAGAGAAAGAACAAGACATGGCAGAGTCTAGTCCTTGCTCAAATTAAAATGACACACCACAATGAATTATTACCACGTTTACTTTATGCAATGCACATTTCTTCTTGAGAACAGTGATACAAGGTTGCCTTCTCAGTGTATTGACTGGGGACCACACGCTTGGTGTTTGCAGCAGTACAGAGCCAGGGCTGGATTTTAGGGGTGGGCAACCTGGGCAGTCATCCAGGGTTCCGTCAAAAGGGGACACCACTGCATGTCCATGTGATTTTTGTTCAGCATCTTGATTTAGTTTGACACAACTGAATCAGAAAAGACTTCTGGCATGTTGAATAAATTGTAATTTCTGGCCTAGTACATGAGATTGCATAAAGAAAGAACGGGGAGGGTATAATAGATTGAAGTGGGAGATGAGGTCATAATTTCTTGTGTGTCACACGTAATTGCATATAAAGGGGGATAGGGATATAGAGAGAGGGGATCAGGTGTCAGGGGCTGGGTCTGCCCAGGGCACTTCATAGTGTATGGCTGGTCTTACATTTACAAGCAGTCATTTTCAAGATGGTGGCATAATAAGTTCTTGTGCAAAATAGCGATCACTACATGCCCTAGTATTTATTTATAGTTGCAGAATGAACCATGAAAATTGTTAATCTTCACCTGAGTCATCAATTGATTTGCTGTTTGATACTGCTGGGGTCATACAGAGGGCATCACATCAATTTCTGTCTCCTTTGATATCGCAAAATAATGTTGTCATAGTAAATTGTGTTCAAATTATGCAGGTGCTCGTGTACAATGTTTTCATGTGCACTTTTTTGTACTATTCCAGGTAGTAAAGCTAAAACAAGTAGAACACACCCTAAATGAAAAACGGATATTACAAGCCGTCGAGTTCCCATTCTTGGTCAAGCTAGCATACCACTTCAAGGTGAGATGTACTATATCGCATGTGTTTTCTTTCCTTTCGCGTAAAAAGAGCCTGCCGCTGTCAGAAGTGTTGCCGCAGTAGCAGTGGCGCTCTGTCTAAGAGCATACTCTTCAATGTCTTTGTCATTCTGCGTGCGCTGAAATTTCGTGAACATCTGGGCATGTTGAACAGTATTTCGATAACTACCATATCAAGCAGTAAGCACCAAGGCACGGAAATTTTTAATAAGAAAGATCTTTTTGAGTGCATAGCGATGCCCAGCTTGTCATCCATTTAGTGTCTCGTGTTTAACGTAAAACAAGGCTAACAGTACTCGGCTAACACTACTCAAAACCAGTACGAAGAGAATTTACAAGATATAAAATAGTATATACTACAGAAATGATCAAGAATTAATGACAATTAAGCCTAAAAATTGTAAAGCTCTTGACACATCAGGCAGAGACCCGCGCTAGTTACAAGAGGGCACAATCGCCTCAGCAGGCGCAATTGTCAAGGGTATCGCTTTGCTGCTTGTGCTATGTACTTCCTCAGGTTTCGCAGCTGCATTAAGTGCAGCATTGAGAAGTACACTTGGAGAAAAATATTTAGGTTCCTAAGCGCCACCACAAAAAAAGATGAAAAACAAAGGAACGCCTCTCTCAACTGGTGTTACATGTGGGAGAATAGCAGGAAGTGGATTAGCCGCATTGCACATGAACAAACAGCACTGCTTCGCCTAACGAATACACGTGAAACGTGAGGGCATTGCAGAGCCATATCTTACCAAGCAAGGAAGTACAAAACTCTAACTCAGATGTGTGCAAAACCACGGATGTGTCAGTTCTACTCAATTTGCCTTTTTTTTTTTAATCCGAAAGGCTTCTATTATTTCCTGTGTCCAGAGCATCTGAGCTTCTGACTGATATGCCTGTTGTTCTTCAAGCAATGCCAGCTACGTGAATCCATTATATAACGAATGTTGATTCCATTGACACTCCACATGAAAAAAGTGACAATAAGAACTCTAATATTTAATGTTTGAAGATCACCATGAATTCTGCAGACTTTACACGCCCACAAACACAGCTGAGACCTCTTGTCTGCAACTGGCACCATGGGTCTCAAAGCCTTTTTTTGTTAAAGGAAAACTCCAGCGATGTTTCTATATTCACCAGTTTCAATAAAACTTTGAACATACTTTCTCGTCGGTACCATGGTGATATGTGACAAATTATACAACCGTTAGTTTTTTAGAAAATGAATAAAAAAATTGGTTAGCAATTCTGGAATCACTTGTAAACGTGGGCCACCCTGTGTATGGGATGTGTGCCTACTCTTTTTCGAAACCCCGCCTCGCCCAGCAGACGTATGTAGTGGGCGCTTTCTTTTATGAGGCGACGACAGTGCAAGCAGAGTTTTGTTTTGTCAGCTGCATATCGTGTTAGTCATAGTTGACATTGGGTCTTACACTAAGCATGCACAATGTTGAGCATTGAGGAGATTTATTCAGGGGCAGGTCAGATGCTTCACACGCGAGCGGGTCCAAGTCAAAAGACATTGCTTCCACGCTCAGATTGTAGCTGCAGTCATAGCTGGACTGGTCACTGGTAAGTTCAGACAAACTGGCACAGCTTGATTCCATGTCGGATAATATTAGAAATGAGCCTTGTTTCATTGAAGGTGTTATAATAAGGCTGTGGTGTGGGCTCTAATGGTGGGACCACCAAACCAGAATGCCATCTCCCTGTCTTCCTGAGACACTTGCACAGGTGTCCCCGCCCCGGTGGTCTAGTGGCTAAGGTACTCGGCTGCTGACGCGCAGGTCGCGGGATCAAATCCCGGCTGCGGCGGCTGCATTTCCGATGGAGGCGGAAATGTTGCAGGCCTGTGTGCTCAGATTTGGGTGGAGGTTAAAGAACCCCAGGTGGTCTAAATTTCCGGAGCCCTCCACTACGGCGTCTCTTATAATCATATGGTAGTTTTGGGACATTAAACCCCACATATCAATCAAATCAACTCGCACAGGTTTCCCTGTTTGCTTTGTGCCACAGTCAGGATGCTAAAACAGTTCCTTTTCATTTCCCTTGCAATGCACAGGACAACTCGAACTTGTACATGGTACTGGAGTATGTGCTTGGAGGTGAGATGTTCTCACATCTAAGGAAAAGTGGAAGATTTTCGTAAGTATTGCCTAATATCCTCCTGCCATCTCCTGTTAAAGGAAAGGCTTTAAAATAGTAACCTTATTCCTTCTTCAATGCTCTTTGCCCCTGTATGTTTTTTTTTTTCGTTCACAAATTCGATTTCATCTGTCTATCAGTTTGTTGCATGTCGCCCACATCAAACTGGGGTTGTCTGTGTTGTACAGCTTACATAAAACCTACCTCATTGTGAGGCGATAAAGTCAAATCGAATGCCTCTGGAAAGCGAAGTTATGCTTCGAACTTTTACAATGTGACTTCGTGCCACGTTTTTAAAGCTTTTGTAAAATGTGACAAGGTGCCATATTTTTAAAGCTTGTTCATATTTAAAGGTATTGAAACATTAAAGTTTTTATGGAGGTCACAAGGGGAAGCATATGTAATATCTTGTTTGTCATAGAAACATTGAGTGGGTATCCATACGTACCATATGAAAACTAGACAAGAGCGTTGGACACTTTTTTGTCACCAGCCTTGCACTTGCACTCATTGTTGCTTCCGGTCATGAGGACTGTACACTGTTATAAAGTGCCTTAAACTTAACATTGTGAATGGTGATGGCCATCTCAATTGGTCTCTTAAAATTTCTCAGGGAGCTCAAGTAGACAATAGGCAACCACGGAATACTTTTTTCCCTTCTCAGACTTCAAAAATGTTGTCATGTATAATAAGGCATCAGCTGCTGCACTAATAATGCAAGTTGAATATTGCATCAGTGCCCACACAATGGACAAAGGTCAAAACAAGCACATTGTGGTATCATGAGCACAAAAAAATATCGGGTGTGACGTTGACATGAGTTTATGGATTGCAGTGTAGCCCCTTTAATTATAGAAGACATGCACTGAGGAGCAATTCTCATCTTTTATAGGAGGTGTGTCTTATAAGCAAGGTGCCACACGTTTGTTTTCTTATGAACACCTATTTCAATGGAGGCACACTGGTCTCTCTTCTAACCACTTCTCTTACATCAGCGTCTCTTATAAAGGGGCTCAACTGTATCACAGGTAGTTTGGGCTGGTTAGCCATTTCAGGACATGCCTTTTTATGGATCGTATCCTAAACATAGTCCAAGCTGTAAAACATTTACCATATGCTTTGTTTCTGCAAGGAATGTCGAGGTTCAGGAAACTGCATTTGGTATTTGCTATTCTGTGGCTGTATAAAATTGTAAGAGCTGGGAAGATGTCATCGGGGCCATTACTGTATGGTGCCTCAGATTTTGCAGTCAAGGCACGATACAAAGGGGAAAGCAGTACTGTTTTATTGAAAGCACTGTAAATGGCTTGACATGTTGATGGAATTTATTTTTTTTATAGTGAGTGGGGCAGGCATTTACATGCTCTTGGGCCCTGATATTGGCTAATCATGGACTTTTTAAACTCAGAGGTTGGGTTCTTACTAAGTGTCGTACTAGAGATGTGGTGAACATTACAATACAATGAAAGCAATACGATGAAATACGGCAATACAATGAAAGATGGCAGTGAAATGAAAGCGGGGACAGAAATGCACTCTTCATTGCGCTGGTGCAGGACCATTTTTTGTTGATGACAAGTGTGGTTGTTATTGGTCATTTTGTTAGAGAATGTTGTGATGATTATACATGTCAACAATTGCAAAAGGATTAATTTGTAATTTTCATCATCAAACGTTTGGCCACGCTAATGTCACGTTTTGTGCTTTTTTCCTCCTCCACTGCCTGGTGAAAATAAACTGACTTCAGAGAGCCACACGCGCGGTTTTACGGCGCCCAGATTGTGCTGGCATTCCAGTACCTGCACTCGCTAGACCTCATCTACCGGGACTTGAAGCCCGAGAACCTGCTGATTGACCACACAGGATACATCAAGGTCAGTTGCTCTTCGTTACATCATGTGTTAATTTGCAAAAGGGTACTGCCACCTAAAATATTCAAAGTGGTGACTTTCTGTGGCTGACACTCTATAAGATTTGTATCTCTCTTGCAAGTAATCCCTGTAGGGTTGCCATTATTGCAGTACCTAACCCTTTCAAAAACCGCTTGCAGGTGCATCAGATCGATATCTTTTTTGAGGCACCCGACATTTCATTGCAACAAAGTAGTGTGGTTATTTATGTGTGTTAATTCATGTGTGCTATGGTTATTAATCAGAATTGAATTGTATATCATAATAACAATTTGTAAATAGAATATAGATGGCAAGCTGTTGGAAGACACTCGAACTTTGCCTCAAGAGTAGAAAGCGATAGCATAATCGACCCCCATTTACGTCACCTTCTCAATCAGTAGCCTGACTTTACTTCTCTGTGGACATACCTCAAGGAAAGGAGCATGGTACGCATTACGTTAGCCATTTCAAACTATCTTACCATGCCTACTGTGAGGGCAGTACTCACAATTCTCCCAGTGGTGAACCAGCTAAGTACCCACTAAGCAACTGTAAGCCAACGTGCAAATCTTCGCAGCTGCTCAGTTTGTTGGTGCTATTATGATTGTGTCAGTGCCTTGTAGTGCATCAGTCTTTAAACGGTAGTCATTGGAAATTCACATGTCCTGGCACAAATTTGTTTCAGCCATGCAACATTGCATTCATTAGGCAGACTGTTCATACTTTATGACATTCATGTAGAGTTTCTTTAGGAGCAGTTCCAAGCAATTAGGTTGCTCTATGGTAGGACACCTACTTGCCAGGCAGAAGGCCTAGGTTTGATCCTCACTCAAACTGAACTTTTAAAAATAATATATATTTACATATATCTCGATTTCCATGAAATGATATCTTTAAAGCATTAAAAGAAGCGGTGTACATGATTGTTTGTAGCATCTTAAAGGGTTAAGTCACCGGCATTTTTTTGAGTTTTCCACTGAAAAGCACCATATCAAGGTGGTGGATGTTCAAAAGCATTAAATCTAAAGACGGAACACAGCGCTTGCGTACTTAGTCGTACATACTTCGCATTTACTACAAACCAGCTATAAACCTCGTTAACATGCTCTGTTGCACGAAACTTGTTTCTTTAACATTGCCAAGGTGGGTGTCTGCCATTGAATGACTCGGTCAAGTTAAAGACACTGTTGTGCTGTGCACAAATTGGACATCATGTTACAGCACATTCCTACTAGCTTGATAATGCATAAGGATTGGCTGACCGAGATTATTCACCATTCACTGCTACGGTCAGTAAACACATAAGATGCAGAGCCTTGTTTTTGATGAGAAGACGCTAAGAAAGATCACTGTTTGAGCACGAACACATGTACCCCGCCTTTTCCTAATCCAGCTTGCTGAATCATTGAGAGCAGCTGAATGGAAGAATGTAGGTCCGCTCTTTATGATGACCACATTCTATGTTTCTCAATTATCCAAATTAAATGCTTTGTTTATCACAACATTATAGTAGGATCTCCAATGTAGTGGGACCCCCGCATTGATTTTCCTCATTACTTGGAGCATTACTTGGAAAGCTTTACAGTAGCTGTAAATATCACGAACTTTTTGTATTAACCTTGATTATGATTATGAATGAAGTGCAATCTTGTTACAAGTCATATTACACTATGATGAACTCAAAATTTGTTATAAAATCAGTTATTTCATCCAACATTGACCATATTTCTGTACACTGCAAATGGATCTTGATACCAGTAACAATGTATTTTACTCCTTTTTACTATGAGTACCTTTTTATCAAAGTATCTGCATGGCAGAGTTTATGGCAGCAGATTATGCTTCTTGGCCCTAGCTTACCTTGGATTCTGCGGTCACTACATGCCTGCTAAATTACTAGCCAAAAGATAATTAGTAATGGGCTGATGTCCACAGCCTTTGCATTGAATCCTTGCATCTGTACCCAAACTGTGAAAAGAGAACACAAGTCACAGTGAAGCAGATTGAGAAGCTTCGACTACCTACAGAAAGCCGCACGGCAGCGAATTGAATTGAAGTAATTGAATAAAATGTATAAGTAATTGATATATAAAAACAGTAATGATTACTCATAACATACCATATAATGCGGAATATAAGTCGGGGCGGAATATAGGTTAACCCCCTTACCTTGATCAGCAAAAAAAAAAAAAAAAAAAAAAAAACGCGGAATTGTGCACTGATTCACTTTATTCAGTCCTCCGAGCGGTCGGAGCTCTCCTCCAAGGACGACTGCTTTTCACTAGCCGCCTCCCATAACATGTCCTCAGTGCCGTCGAGAACGTTGCTGATGCAGCACTTCTTAAATGTGCGCACCACCATTTCAACAGGCAGAGACCTCCATGCCTCGGGGACCCAACCACAAACTGTCGCGAGAGGTGGCCTGCGCAGCTGGCCTGTCGGTTTCCACAGGTTGTCGCCAGCCATCCATTCAGTGTTTAACACACTCACATGGTCCTTAAAAGACTTCTTAAAGATGACAAGATTGGTCTTCCCGTCGCAAAGTCTCTCTTTCACTGATGTCGTCAAAATGCCCGCGAAATGCATCTAACATGAGCATGTTCAGGAGGGCGGCAGGAGGGCTCTGGGCCGCCAGGTTCCACACTGTGAGGATCCACTCGCATTAGGGCCTCATCCATGTACCCCTTCTCATTCACGCGGAGGATGACATCCCGTGGGAAAGCCTCTTTTGGCATCGTCTTCCGCCTGAAGATTATGAACAAGGGCAACTTTCTGCCATCGGCTGCAGGAAAGCATAACGGTGAAGCGCGTATGCTTGCTTCCGTTCAACAAAAGCTTCACCTCTTTTGCCCCGCGTTCGCAGACTGTCGTAGACGACGGCATGTCGAACGACACCGGCGTTTCATCGGCGTGCCGATCTGGCCCGACATGTAGCCATGCTGCCGCTAGAGGCTATTCAGGTAGAGTTGAAACTCGTGTAAAGTTGTCCTCGTACATCCCGAGCAGCTTCTGGCAGATTGCCGTGTGCCGTCGAAGGGCAGATTCTTTGCGTCGCATGAAGGGTGGACCCAATAAATCGACCCTTTGAAATGTTTCCTTGACAGACCGGCCTCACGGGCAAGCTCGACGCCTTTTGTGCAAATGAGCTTCACATTCAATAGCAGAAACCTGGCACGGTACTCGCGGCATAAATTCTTCCACTTTGGCCTCGAGTTCCAGCTGTACAGCTCGGCGACTGCCCAACAACGCCTTCTGCGCCTTACGTACCGACAGTTTCGAATTTTTTGGTTGCGCCAGTACGTGACGCTTTTCTCGGACACTCCAAACTGCCACTGCGTCGCCATGTTGCCATTCACTTTCGCTAATTCAACATCTTTTCTTTTAAATACGGCGGCGGACTGGCGCCGCATCCCAGTATTCATAGCAGGCCGCAGAGCAAGGTCACCACTTCCTAGAAACACTGAATGAACAAGAAAAGAAAAATGGAGTCGGCAGAGAACGCGTCAGGCATGGAAGAAGGAAAACTGAGGAGAGGCCCTCGCTATCCAGGCGGCAGAAAAAAAAGTGGGGCGGACTGAAATCACGTGCTTTTTCACAATGGTTGCTATGGCAATGTGGGCACGCCGTCGATGCCCCGTCGTCTCGCGTCGTCGATAAATCACACCTTTGATCGACTTGTTGTGTGTGAATCTGCATTTTTATAAGATAGTTGTGTTCGCGGATGACGTAAGGTTTTATAATTTCATCCTACAGCGAGTGTATGTCGTCACGGTTGCGTGCGCAGCATTCAGCGTGCCATCGCGAGGGGTTTTCGAAGCCCGCGACAGCTTTTTTGAGAAGTTTTCGCGCCGCAACTTCGCTGTTTGCCTTAGACACCGTGCTGCTGCACTCCTCCACGGTGAAAGGATACATTTCCGACGACACCTCCGGCGGCTCTTCATGTTGGAGACAGTGGTGACCCATTTCCGTGGGCGAGGATGACAATTGAAATGCATTGGCCTGATGCTCTCAGTGAAGGCTGCATCGTCAAGAGTATAAAACACATGCCTAACCCAATTGTGTTTGACACAAGAAGGCGATTCGCGAAGCTGCTTGACGTGTTCAGATTCCATTGTGTTTTGTGCGAGGTAGTTTTATATGGGCCAATGTTCTATTCAAAGCGGTGGTGCCCGAATGACCGCCCTGCCCCACTGTAGCTTGACTGAAGTGCCGCGACGTTGGTGCGAATGTTATGACGCACAGATGCAAGGGATAATCTGAAGGTGCAACATGCTTCTATGGAGGGAGGCCAATGCAGCAGGCGCTGTTAAATTATGTCGCGTACCCTTAACTTACCGGTTCACCTAAAAAAAAAAGTCCACGACCATTACTCTGCCGAGTTGCAGTTTCTTTCTTGCATTCAGCTCAATAGGCTTGAAGCACGTAACTGTAAGTTTATTTGATATGCTCAATAGCAAGGCTTGCACTCAATAAAACTTTGTTTCATTTCCTGTACACTCGCCTGGGCAATATACCGACGTGTAACCATGTAGTCAATTTACATGTCTTTCCAATAAACGTTGGGCATTTAAATCTGCAGCGCGCGCGACATTACGGTTTCTCATGGCAGTAGGAACGGCATCCTCGCGAAGGCGAACTGCCACTGGCGCCGCCCGATCGAAGTGCTCAGGTGGGAAGTGTTTTGCGCACACAAAGCACTATTTCGTTGGTTCCCAGTGGCGTTGGCTGGGTCTAATGCCCTCGATTCATAGCCTCATTCAATGGGGATCTTTGGGAAACTTGCACGAAAGCAATTATAAATGTACACGAATTCGCTGACATTACTGACACATGTACAAATAGTCATGAATAAATTGAAACAGTGATATCACGACGGGGACAAAGTGAACTAAAGAAGAAACTCCGGTGCTAGCTGCGCCGTATCATCAGCTTTGTGGTTAATTGCGCTGCGTTTTATTGCGTTCAAGAACTGTCACCAAGACCCGTAAATAAACACTACGCTGACGCATGCAGTATCGTGCATTATGTTCTGCGAGGATACTCTCGATCATACTGTACGTCAAACATAAAGAAATTCAATACACTCACCGGTGGAAGCTGACGCCTGGTTCCCGTTTTATCGAGGGCATCGCAGCTCCTTAGCCGATGCAATCAGATGTATCGCTTTCTGGCTCGGTTAGCTGGCGATGTCCCTGGGCTCTGGCCAGCGTGACGCGATATTGTTTTCTAGCAACCAGATGAGCAAGCCCACAAGTGCGAGGAGGAGCACTCCTACTCTTCCTCACTTCCGGCTTCACAAAATGTGACGTCACGGCCTCTCCTCAGTTTTTTCCTTCCTCCATGGCGTCGGGTGTCGGCCCAAGGAGGCGATGTCGATGCTGATGTCCATGAAGCATGCGACACTACCTGTTGCCAGACGATCACTTGGTTTATGCCAAGAGCCGGTATATAGGTCGGGGGGCCATTTTTTAGTGACATTTTTTTACAAAAATCTCGATCTATATTCCACACTATACAGTACTTAAGATATGAATATACATGATCCTCGCTGATATCTTTTTGACTCGGGCGAGTTGGTACATAATTGGATAGGCTTCAGCGGATTTAGACGAAGACTAAGGAGACTTGCAGAACTCATCTGTGTTCTGTGGTCTCCTTAGTTTTCGTCTAAATCGCCGATGAAGCCTATCTAATTATCTCGCTGATATGTTCCTGTTTTGTACGGTTTTGCAGTGCCATCATTTGTGACTGAGACAAAAAGAAAAAAAAAGAGGGAAAAGGACCACACAGCTACGCTTATTTTCAGCCATGGAAGGGGCACCGATGCAAAAATTTACTCGGAAGTGGCTGCACCACATGACAATACAGTGAAAAGATGGCAGTAAAATGAAAGCCAAGACACAAATGTGCAAGCGTAGACAAGTGTGGCACCAGGTAGCTAACGATGCATTCACCATGGCTGGAAAAGTCGTTTGCTGGAGGGCATGATGGTTAATTACAGCAGACTGGTTAAACGGAACCTGGTGGGACCAAGACGAGTTCCATTCTAACAGTAGTTTCATTTACTAAGAGGTGAGTGGGGATGCAGAATCATGTATAGAACTAATCATATCAGAAGCAGTTGTTCCATTTAAACAGCAGTTCTATTTAACATATTTCTAGTTTACCGAGAGTCCTACTGTATTTGGAGAGTTTTTCATAGTGCTCAGTCACAGTGTCGGTTTAGGAAAACACTGAGTGAGGCTGGACTGAAAGTGGCTTTTGTGTAAATATTGTTACAGGAAAGATTACATTGAACTGCCTACGTGAGCACCCAAAACCATGTGTGCATAGGCACTGCATTGACACCTTTCTCCAACAAACATAGTGAACACACACACACACACAGTAGAATCTCGATGATACGAATTCAAAGGGAGCATGCAAAATATTCATATTATCCCAAATTCGTATGAACTTAAAACAAGTTAAAGCTGATCCTGAAGATGTATAAGAATATTATTGGGATCAACTACTTCTTGCTGAAGAAAAGACCATGATGTTCGTTTGAACATTTCTGCTTTCACCGCCTCTCAATAAAGTGCCGCAGTTTTCTCACTCATGCTGCTGGAACTTCACACTTGGCATCAAAGAAAGTGAAACGGCAAAACTTATGAAAAATTTACTCGCTTCACCACGTAAGTGGTGAAGCGAGTAAATGTGAAAAATGTGTGGTAAAGCATGCCGCTTAGTCGACACGAAAAAAGATTGGTCCTAAAGAATTCAAGCGAAAACGCCAGAGCGGCCGCAAAACCACGTCCACGCCCGCTGAAAATATTCACATTCCTCCTGCTCCTCGTATACATGCCACCGCGGCCACTTCAGAATTAATTCCTGAGCATTAAAACCCGTGCCGAGTTCTAGCTGTGCATTTAAATCACTGAAAAGAAACAGTTTATGCACCATTACAAACGTTTTTTCGGGAGATATGTCAGAAGAAACAACTCGAGTGGACGCACCAGCATCGGCGACGACTGATTCCGCCAGCAGTACAAAAGCGAGACATATTAGGGCGTGCCGACTCGCTGCTGCTGCACCTTCTTCTACTTCGGGTGTTCGCAGCCATCGCAACTCAAACCAGGCTGTTGATGAACTCTTCTTTTTCAAGGTCGTGAGCTTTGTCGTGCTGCACGTGTGTCGTTCATGATTGCGTCAATGCGAGCTACCACCGACGCCTTTGCCGCCATGTTGAATGTAAGGCTTGTTGTTTACATCACGTGGTTTCAGAGCTAGTGCAGTTGGTGTAGCCAAAGCCCTATTAGAAGACGATCCGCTATCGCAAAATTAAGTTCCGCAAATTAGTCTAGACGGCAAAATTAGTCTCAGGACCGATTTTGTAGCGTCAGCCTCACGGGATGGTTTTCCGGCCATTTTACCGGCAACGAAGCGTGCAAAATTCCGGCGAGTTTTGCCGCATACACTCCCTTTGAGGCCAAGTGTGAATGGGCCTTCGTCCCTGGACAAGCCACATTGCGCCGCTCGCGTGCAGCAGTCAATCGCGCTTTCGTATTATCCGTGGTTGCTGGGGAAACCGCTCGTAGAAAACCAAATCACGGCGTATTTTTGATAATGTTGTCCATTTGAAGCAACCACGAAATTCGTATCACCCCGAATTCGCATCAACTTTGATGATATCATCAAAATTCTAGTGTATATCGTGAAAGCCCACATATAACCTGAGGTTTTTTTTTTTTTCTAGATTTTAGGGTACGAAATTTTGGTCCCGTACTCACTGTGCAGGTCCCAAAAATTTTTGGCCGGAATTCAGTTTGGTTTCGGCATAACGTGGTGATACATCATCTGGGTATTTTCGCACTTCTGAGCTAGGTGCTAGGTAGTGTTAGCGGCGGTAGCAGTCGTCAGTCTTACAAACCAACGAGTGTAACAGTGGTCAGTGGCCTTTGCTTCAACTTGGCGCCCATAACCACGGCCACGATTTTGCTCCTGTGATTTTATGCATGTCAGCATTGTGCAGGCAGCACTCGGCTGCTTTTAAGAAGAAAGGGATCACTTCTGCCGAAACCATCGGAAACAGTGCTATGGAGCCAGTTCGGAGTCAACGAGCGGGCTATTGGCGGTTGGCGGAAAGCAGAAGGACGCCCTCTTTAATTGCAAGGGCCAGGAAAAAAGTTTCCGCGGACCAAAGAATGGAGCGTTTCCCGACGTGTAAAGAGAACTCGCAGACTTTGTACAGGAGCAGTGAGCTGTACATCTTGCTGTTAACAAGCGAGGGCAAGGGAGGTCGCCCAAGACAAAGGCATTCAGCCGGAGGATTTCAGAGTGAGCAAGCATTGGGTGTCTCTCTTCATGCGCCTCACTGGGTTCTCCCTACGTGCAAAATCTTGCAAAATCTACCAAAGAGCTACAATGAGGACCTTGTGAAGTTTTGAAAGTATGTAATTGCATTGCGAAAGGCTGTCCCCTTCAGCTGGGCCAGATCGGCAAAGGGTATCAAAAGCTGTTCTACCTGGATATGCTCTTGGTGCTCATAGGTGGGTCAGAAAGGCTCCAGGCAAGTTATCATGCGATCGACTGGGAACGAAAAAACACGGGTGACTTTGATGGTTCCTGCACTGTAGACGGTCGCAAGCTACCACCCTATGTGGTGCTCAAACGAAAGATGCTGCCGAAAAGGATAAGTTCCCTAAAAATGTCGTCGTGCACCGCCAGGACAATGTGTGGGTGGACGAATCCCTAGTACTTGACTGGACTGGACGTCTGTGTGGTGTCGACGGCCCGGAGCACTGCTGGGGCTTTCTTCAATGCTTGTGCTCGACGGGTTTCGGTGTCACCTGACCGATTCCGTAAAACAACTGCGCAACTTTCGCATTGAGCTTATCATCATCCCTCCTGGAGTGACATCACGGCTGCATCTGCTTGATGTGTGCCTGAATAAGCCATTTAAGGACCATGTTAAGTGCCTGTATTACCCCTGCCGGACGGCTGAAACGGGCCTCGGCAACGCTGCTGTGCTTCTGGATAGTCGAGGCTTTAGCCTGCATTTCCGAGGCGCTCGTTATCCGCGCGTTCAAAAAGTGCTCCATCTCGAACCCACTTGATGGTACTGGGGATGATGTGCTGAGGGAGAACATTTCTGACAAGGGAGCTTCGGAAGAAAGTGTGTCCGACGATGAATGAAGTGTGTCAACAAATGCATTTTCCCATTTTGTTCTGGCTATATTCTGGTGAAAACTTTCTTTCTTGCATTTGCTATCCCCAAATTACACCTTAGCCTATATGCGGGTCCGAGCTATATGCGGCCTTTTACGGTATATGACACTCCGAAAAATGCTCTGCCAAGGCAAGGACATCATCTCGTGTGCTCCCATGCTAGTCTGCCCCCTCTATCTTTTGAAAAGGTCTGGTTTGAAGAGGTGTGCATTGAAAAGGATAGAAGGTCTCTTATGCGGTGCTGGGACATTCTCTTCAAGATTATTTTTAAGCAAGTGCTAGGCTATATTATCCATTGATAAGTCGTAGATGATACATGTCTGTCTCCACAAATCTATCCTACAAGTTATCTTGCATTCAAAAGTACTTCTGTATTCCTTTAATACATTCCCGAAAAACATTATTCAGTACCAATGTACGGTTTACTGCTGAGCTACGATCATATAAGCTTTTTGGCCAGCATGTCTCATGTGTAGCAGATAAGTCTCAAAGCACTCGCAATTGAACTGTGCCCAAATATATACATCATATCGCATTAGGCTGGACTTGCTTGCAAAGATTTGTTTGCTCAAGCCTTGTTTTGTTTTTGCTGCCAGGCCAGGCTGGATTACCAGGACCCTGAAGCATAGGTTGAAGCATTACTGTGTATGCCTTGTGCACTGCAGGTTACGGATTTTGGCTTCGCCAAGCGAGTCCGTGGACGGACCTGGACCTTGTGTGGCACGCCTGAATACTTGGCACCAGAGATCATTCTCAGCAAGGTCAGTAATATCTCTCTGCTTACAGATTTAACAGAGCAGTGTCCTTCCTTAAGGCTTGTTCACACCTGTGATTAGCACCGATCACCCAACATGCATTTTGGAGGGTATTTATTCGTAAACTTTTCGTAATTTCTGTGAACTTGTGTATGCAAAATTTAATGTGAAGAACAACCATTAGGTATGTACGACACCATTTGAGCAGCTGAAGAGCCAGAACATATAATCAATGCAGTTGGTGACGTAAAGAAATGTTTTGCTGCACATACTCGTCGTTAATATCAAGGTTCAGTAATGTTGGATGCGTGAAGGCCTGAGCTGTGGTCTACTTGCAGGGCTACAACAAAGCTGTTGACTGGTGGGCACTTGGTGTCCTAGTGTACGAGATGGCGGCTGGCTACCCACCTTTCTTTGCTGACCAGCCGATCCAGATATACGAAAAGATTGTCTCCGGCAAGGTGAGTGGCTGCTTTTACTAAGTGGTACCTGTATGCCTCTGCCATTTGAGTGGCATTTATATGGTGATCTTCGAGGTCCTTTTTCTCTCTTTTTTGTTAAATCATATACAGTGGAGCCCTCATATAAGGGCCCTACTTAAAACGAACTTTCGCTTGAAACAAATGATACCCTTGTGACAGTGGAAATAGACATTATTTCAATGGCATAAAATGGCACTTTCTCCCGCGTGGTTTTGTCTTCAAGATCACCTTCCTGCGGTATGCTCCCCTCTCTTCACTCTATCGCAACTCCTTCACCCATCTCCAAGGCTTTGGGACGCTGGCCATGCTGACTCGAATCAAGAAGTTTCTTTTTCTAACTGGAAACTGGCCTTGAGCAATTACACACGTCTTGGCTTGTATGTCGTGCGTGCGCATCTTGCTCACTGTTTGTGTGCGTGTGCAGTTAGGATGGCAGACAGGAGGCCTTTCACACCTTTTCCTGCTGCACAACACAACATCAAAAGTGCAACGGCTTCACTTGGGCATAAACCACACGTTTGAGACTCATTATAGGCGCTGCATTGTGGAGCGCTTGCTCATAGCTGTTTACCCCCCAGCAGCCAACATGCCGCTTCGTGGTTCTCTGTATTCAGCCGTGGAGATGATGAATGCTACGGGGGCGGAAGTAACAGTTACATGTGTGCGAAACTGTTTTTGTGAGGCTGACTTTGGCGACGTCAAACCTGATGCCGAGCCTGAAGCTTCCCACCTAACTGGACCATCCTGGGGGCGATTTGTGGCAGGGTGTCGTCGACTCCGACATGGGAGACATCTGCTGGGATGATGTCATTGCAGCCGATAATTATGCTGACATTGCGAAACTGAGCATGCGTGGAGGGCATTGTGAATGAGGTGCACAGCAGCAGCGATATTGAGGAGTCGGATGATGACAATAACGAAACATTAGAGACCGTGCAATTGGCTACATTAATAGCCTCATGCAGCTCAGATAATGCCAAGGGCTTCAGCGAAAAGCACACTGCTGCTTTTGGTAAACTCGAGACCACCCTTGTCACTTCTGCTCTTTGAAACTCGTGCATTTTTCAATAACAACCACATAGGAGAAAACCCCAATGAAAGAATACTTTGGAGGATCAAAGGATCATTTTTGTTGTTTTGATTAGTAAATGGCCAAGGTGCCTGCAAGTATAGGTACATGAAAGATGCAAGAAGTTGAAGCAACATCAAGGCCAAACATTTACGGGAGTACAGTCGAGCCCGCTTATAATGAACCTGAGTGTGACGCGGCATCCGTTCGCTGTATCCCGAAGTTTGTAGTAAATAAAACACAGCTTTTAAAAAAAAGTTGCGAGTGAAAACGGAAACTTTTTTTCCCCAAAAAGTCCGTAATGCACGTGTTTCGAAGAGCAGAAACGATAAGGGCGGTCTCGAGTTCATTTAAAACGGCAGGCTGCTTGTTCGCCGAGGCCAGTGGCATAAGCTGCGTGAGGCGCTGGCTCCAAAGCTTCGTCGTTCTCGCAATCCGATTCCTCCAAATCGCTCTCGCCACAGTACTTCATTCACAATGCCCCAATCCGTGCACGGTTCCGCAGTGTCGTCATCATCATCGGCCGTAATGAAATCATCGCAACAGATGTCCTACCCGCTCTCCCAGGTCAGAGTTGACGACGCGCTGCCACAAATCGCCGCCGCAGGTGATCCTGTTCGGAAGCTTCAGGCTCGGCTATCGGGCCCGACGATCGACAAAGTCGGCCTCGCGAAAATAGTTTCGCGCACATGTAGCCGTCACCGTCCACCCACGAAATATTCACCATTTACACAGCTGAATACCGGGACACCCGAAGCGGCAAGTTGGCTGCCAGGTGGTCAACAGCTATGAGCAAGCGCTCCGCAACGCGGCACCTAACACGCGGATTACGCTCAAGCCAAGCGGTCACAGTTTCGACGTTTTGTTGAGCGGCACAAAAAGCGTGCTAGTCCTCCCGTCGGCCATCATGACCACACACGCACACCAAGAGCGAGCAAGATGCGCACACGCGTGGAACAGCTCTGGGCGCTTTTCCAGTCGGAAAACGAAACTAATTCGAGCCAGCGTGGCGGGCGTCGCGGAGTGGTGGAGACGGGCGCAGGGTTGTGATCAGGAGAGGAGAGCAGACTTGCGAGAGAAGGGCAAAGGAGTTGCGATAAAGCACGGAGGAATGAAAGATTCCTTCCTTTATGCGATAAAGAGAGGGGAGGATGTGGCGGGAGGGCGACCTTGAAAACCAAAACACACGGGAAGGTGGGTAGCTTGCTTGAAAGGTCCAGCGAAACTCGCACGTAGAAAATCTTGGAAAGAGTGCCAGCGCGCGCAGAAGTCAAAGCATGGCCGCCTCGTTCGGTGCACGTGGCGGCGTTCGAAGAATCAGCGGCCGTGATCAAGAAATCGTTTTGTTGCGCCGGCGGGTTTGCGTGGCCTCACGAACTTTGATATTTCGCGAATCGTTCTGCACAAATTAAGAGCCGTTTTCGCGCTTCCGCACGTGCGCGGAAGGCATGCTGACTCGAGCGTGAAGTGAGCGAGAAGAAGTCCTAAACACGAAACTAATCGCAATTATCAGAGCTGGTGGGGTAGCGTACACGCGTGTGCACTAGACGCAGACTATCGGATACAGTCGGTGGCCGACGATGTTGGCAAACGGTCTGGTCACTCCAGGCCGGTGACGCACACGACAGTACCAGCGATCAAAAACAGGGTACGTGGCCGACCGGTCTTCGAAAGATCAGTGGCAGTGTGAAAACACGGGCCTCGTCTGGTGATGCGGGGTGCTCAGAGTAGCTGGGGGACAAAGGACGGAGGGGTGCGTAACAAAAAGCGGTCGTGGAGAGCAGCAACTAGAGGGGCGCGGAGGCAGAATCAGCGTTCAACAATAAGAATGTATGGGCACCTCGCCGATGCCTGATCGGTGGTCGAAATTGGTTTCTCGGGAAGTCGGCAGACCGCTGACTTCCGTTTGCTGTAACCGATCATGGGCGCTCGGAGACGTTCGCTGTAAGTGCGATTTTGTGACATTGAACCAATGTATATTTTGACGGATCACGCCAACATTGTTCGTTTTAAGCGAAAGTTCGTCTTAAGTGGGGCCGTTATATGTGGGCTCGACTGTATCAAAACTCTGGTCCTCGCCACAGGGGGAAAAAAGAATTTTTTTTTGCATCGAGCTCTTGTGTCACAGAAGCGAATGCGTCTTCAATCCCCTACCAGTCTTCATGAAATTCTTATTGTTCATTTGAGAAATAATATTTACCTTGGACATGTTAGCTGGTGACAGACAAATCTTAAAAATTGAGTATACGATATGTACACGAAAAAAAAAGAAGTTTAGAATACGCACTATCGTAATGGTAAAAAAATGGGGGAAGGACTCGCCCTCGAAATTCGTAAGAGGGCAGTACAAGAATGAAGCTGTGGTCGTAAAGGGCCATGATTCTTCTAATGCATGTAATTATTCTAAGATATCTTTCATTTGTTGAACATGTCATCCTTTCCTGCTGATTATGATGCTGTTGTGTTAATATCTGAAACCAATCACTTGGCAAGCTCATGTCATCTTGTCTTTTTTGGGTGTGCTGTGACATTTTGATGCACATTTGAAGGAAATAAAGTGGACGAAAAATTATCCTTCCATTGGCGGCATTCCATCGATGGAAAGGCTGAATTTTTATTCTCTACTGTGCTTTCCTTGATTATAAAAATTGAGCGCGAAAAAAATGATGGGTCACAGGAAACAAGTAGACGTGATAGAACGCTCTATTCTGTCTGCTTGTTTTCTAACTTGCCCAGCAATACATTTCCTTGATTACATTACATTGCCTGTACAAGTATTTATCGAAAATATCATAGCATTACTACTAGAGTTAGCTAAAATAGCTAGATTAAAAGCAATATTTTGAATAAAACGCTAGAATTCCTACTCCTAGCTAAATTATATTTTTGGTAGCTAACCGAGTTCAAAGTAGCTATATCTGGCTACAAAATAGTTAAATTGGCAACACTGCCGAACCTTCCCTCCCAAGGCCACCAATGCATGCGTGCCCACAACATGCGAACGAGGACGCATGCTGGACGTGTGCATGCAGCAGACGTCGTCTGCTCCTGCTGCTGGCCATTACTAGCCGTAATTCCAACGGCATCAGTTAGTCTAGTTATTTATGTTACACAAAAAAATTGAAATATTTTGCAGTGTACGAGGCGCTATCACAATTTTTATGTGCCGCGTCGATAGAAGCGCGTGTAAAAAATGGCAACACGCCGAAAGCGTCGTTTACCGAGCGTTGGTGTGAGCCACATCGTTTCGTGACGCTATTGCGTCCTCCACCTTACAAGCATAAACGACGGAATATTTATAACACACAGCATTAGCTATGCAGAAATGATTATAGGTGAAGAAAACTCTAGTACAGTTATTAGAAGCATATGCGAACAATTAGGCTGAGCAAATGCATAGCCGTCGCACGCTGGCGTGGCTTGGGAGTTTCTTCTCCTCAAAAGCTTCTTTCTCAGTGGCCTACAGTGTGCAAGCAACACCTTTTTGCTTCGGTTATCTTTGTCAGTGTGCTGTTTTCTTTTTCTATTTCCTTCAGAAATAAGTGGTCGTCGACAACAGTTTACGATAGGCTTGAAAAAAGTTTTAAAGTTATGAAATAAAGTGTAAGTAAAAAAAAGTGCTGAAGCACACGGCATGCTGGCATCAGAACAGTAATTCGCTGCATCGAAGAAAAGCGTCCGATACTGCAGGAGCCAAAAGCAGTGCATCCCATCCTGCAGCAACAAAAAAAAAAGCTTTGCTTCGTGGACAGAATGCGGTGCACCCCGAATTACTACTCGACCAATTAGTCTGTAAGCTGCGTACAAGGTCGCCATCGTAGGTGCGCCGATTTATGAAGCAGAAGAGCTTTGACAGCGCTAAGGCGGCGTACTTCCATGTATCAAAAGCTGCCTGGTGATTTTGATAACTAGCTGGTCGTGTATTAGCGCTTCATCATAGGGCCTCCTCAATAGCATCGCTACATGATGGGACACATGGGCAACGCTTATTAAACTCCGCTCTGCTTTTATATGCCCTGGAACTGGACTTTGACGACTAAAATATCCAAGCAAGTGAAGCTGTTGACAAGGGGAAACAAGCATTCGCGATTTACAGTGATGCTTGCGTGCACAGGCAATGGAAAAAAGCTACCCCCTTATATCATTTTCATGATGACAGGGCTACCAAAAAAAGACTTTCTTCGGGATGTTATCGTAAGAGAGAACGAAGAAGGGTTTATGAATTAGTCCACATACTTGACTAGATCTGGCTCGTGTGGAATGGGCGACCCGGGGCGCTTTTTGAGCGACCGTGCATGTTGGCGCTTGACTCGTTTCGAGGCCACCTCACAGCCGATGTAAAGGGAGCTCTGTCCAATGGCGAGACTGACTTTGTCTTGATCCCTGGGTGACTAACATCAATCCTCCAGACACTGGACGTAGTGCTCAATAAACGCTTCAAAGGTTGCGTGCGCGAGCTCTATAATGAGTGTATACTGGGCGACAATCCTAACACCCCTGCTGGCTGCCTACGACGTCCACCGCTCGCAACCATTTGTGGTGTGGTGTCATCAGCACGGAAATCTCTCCTGAATGCACAAGCTTTCCGCAAATGCTGCATCAGTAACGCATTGGATGGAACAGAGGACGATGCACCCTGGGACATAACTAGTGAGAAACGGACGTCAACAGACTCGAGTTCGGACCAGTCTGAGTGACAGCATGGCCCAACCGTCCGTGACACAACATGACCCCCAACATGACCCAACCGTTTGTGGTTGGGTGTCATCAGCATGGAAATCTCTCCCGGAAGAGATGGTGCGCAAACCTTTCCGCAAATGCTGTATCAGCAATGCATTGGATGGAACGAACGAACTCTGGGACGTAACTAGTGAGAAACAGACGTTGTTGGACTCAAGTTTGAACCAGTCTTAGTGACAGCATTTTGTGGCCTTTTGGTGTCCACTAGTGTCGAAATAAAAAGAAACATCACCACAGTGCAGCTGGTTGTGTGACGTATTTATCAAGGTAAGGGTGCTCCGTGATATCTGTTTTTCGGAGATTCAAAGTCCTATACCGTATTTACTCGCGTAATCTTCGCACTCACATAATTCTCGCACCACCTACATCGCCCAACAAAAATACGATTTCTTTTTTTCCTTGAGTAATTATCACACCCCCAAAAACTGCCACAATAATGTCGTCTGCTCGTTTCAACCACTGATGATGATAGCCAACGCCATCTGGCGCCATCTCTTAAGCATCAAGCATACTATTATTGCACGAATATTCAATCCAATCCAGGCCAAGCCAAAGTGGCTAGTGTGCGTTGTGGCGTGTTTTGTATGTTGTGTCGGTAATCTTGTCACGTTGTGGGGCAATACTGTAGCAACTAGGCTGCTTTCAAGTTGAAAGTGATAGATCATGATGTAAGCAATGGCAACAGGGCCGCCGGTAGGCCTTTTGGAGCATACGAGTTTTGTGTTCGGTACTGGTGACGGCAGCTGAAAGCCACCAAGACAGACGCGTTGGGCCTACCGTGTGCCTAAAACTGGGATTGATGGTAAACTTTATTTTTTCAGAAAGAAACTGTGGACAATTCTGTTAAATAGTTATCAGCCCAATACTGACGTCCTACGCTTACTTTTTGAGGGCTCCTGTTGAGCAACCAACGCTGCTGCCACGCCCACAACGCCCACAAGCTTTGCGTGTGGTATTCTTAATCACGACTATTTGCTTGCACTTTTTGTGTCTCAAATAAATCTTGCCTTGTGTTGAATGTGTGCTTTTATTGTTTAGGTAAATTTTAATTAGTACGTTTCAAAGCTTGCTGTTAGTTGTTGGTGTGAGAATCCCGATTTGCGGCCACTTGGTTTTTTTTTTTTTTTTTCGCTCTGTACGTTTTCGTGGAAAGTTTTTTCCACGTAATTATCGCACCCCCCAACTTTGCATCGGTTTTCCGTCAAAAAAAGTGCGAGGATTATGCGAGTAAATACGGTATTCTGGTGCCACAGATAAGTACGGGAAATCGGGTATGTCCGAAATTTTAAACGTCTGAGAAATCGGACGTCAACTGTATTTGTCATGTGCTCACCTGTTACCCCTCACAGTGCTCACAATCGTACAGTCGCTGCTGAGAAAGATGAGCACAAGGGACTGGTGGTCGGAGCTGCCACGCAATGCTGTTGTACCCGAGCACGTCGATACCCATTCCATTCTCCAAAGCGCAGGTGGCCGGCAGACCAGTAGAAAGCAGCCCACCTTGCTGTTGGCCCATCCAAAAACCCATATATGAAATGCTTGTGTATTGCTTATCAGCATATATGGCTGGGCACTTTTTTTTTTTTTTTTTTTTTTTTTTTTTGCTGGAGTTGCAAGCAATCGTATCTTTATGGCAGTTTCCCCAAAGAAGTTGTTCGTTGAAGTACTGTTTGCCAGCTACCCCTGCCTTGAAAAATATGTGCTTGGCATTCTCGATACCGGCGTGCATGGAAAAAAAGGCGCCACATGACATGATCATGCTGCTCCGGCAACCAGACACTTGTGCCAATTTTTTTTTTTTTAATAAGACTGTATTAGCTCCATATTGTGTGCTAATATTCCTGAATTTTTGCTCTATGGCTTCTCTCGTCCAGGTCCGCTTCCCGTCACATTTCACCTCCGACCTGAAGGACCTGCTGAGGAATCTTCTGCAGGTTGACTTGACAAAGCGCTTTGGAAACCTCAAAAATGGTGTCAACGATATCAAGAACCATCGGTGGTTTGCTACTACAGACTGGATTGCGATCTACAAGAAAGAGGTTGGTTCACCCACAAGTTTCTCTGCATTGTCATCTGTGCACAGAAGTGCAGCTTAGGTGTGATGTGGTACGTTCAGGAAGATACGTGTATTAAAGAAAAAGTAATACTTTTGTCCGATGCGGCTGAATATTGTTGCATTGGAAAAATAAATTTGAGTTAGAATGGCTACTGTGGTAAGGATAATTTTTATTAATGGCCTGAAATTTTTTCGAGAATTGGTTGTAATTGGTGAATGCAAATTATATCCAGTAAATTTTATTGTTAGTCATTATGTTATTTTGTTACAATGCTTAATATGGTTTCATGCAGGCCTTACACAAATATCCATAAAGTAACCAGTGTAATACATTGATTTTTTTTGCATTAGATCTATGCATTAGGTGCTGTTTACAGATCTGTGATACTGTGCCCGATTCCTAAGTTACAAATTCAACAGACTTGCTTTCGAAGTGCAGCTCTGATATGCCAGTTTGTATGTTTCGCGTTCTTATTGTAACCAAGTGAGAGAGATGCAGGCAAGGAGGGGAGTGACAAGGCACAGCCGAGATTGAATGACAGTGACATTGCGGAGAGTGAGGGAAGGAAAGTGACACACATATCGTATTTACTCGATTCTACCGCGCCCTCGATTGTAACATGCCCCCGGTTTCCAATACGAAAAAAAAAAAAGCAAGACATCGATTGCAACGCGCACCCATTTATCTCGTTGGCCCGCATGATCATACCACTCGAAAAAAACTACTCCTTTCAATAGTGTCTTCCATTTAAATATGACGTATAACTTAGAAGTACTTGTTGTTGGGCTAGTTGGGAGACGCTCTTTCTCTGTGATTATTTCTTCCTGTGGTGCTTTAGGCGTCTAGAATTACCCTTCAGTAAATGTGAGGTACGGGGGAAGCTTGTGCCCATCTGACGTGTAAGAGAGCATTGCGGTCACTGTAGTTTTATTGTGGACCGATGTCAGCACGCGAACTTGCTTGGCCCCCTTCTTCTCGCTGGTTGTGGTGCCAGGCATGTCGAAGTAAAGAGGCGTCTGATCGGCATTCCCGATTTGCCACAGCAGGTAGCCATTGTTGTGCTGCATGTTTAGGGCGAACCTGTGAAAACTGTGAAGATTTTTATCGAACTCCTCCGCAAAACTTTTCGCATATGCCCGTTCGCCTTCGGAGGGAAAAGCCTTTCCTCTTCATAAAGTTAGTTAGCCAGCACCTGCTCGCTTTAAACTGGCTCCGCATTAGCACTTTTTCTAAGTCTAGCTGCATAGCCCGCACTTGGAGCAGCTCTGTCGTCAAGGGTGGCTGTGCCGCTCGCTGCTCAAGCAATACTCGCCAAGCAGCTCTTCAATTTGCGGAAACCAACCCTGCTGTGGTCCACTGAAGCCTTTGCGTGAAGCTTTGCTATCGACAATCTTCTTCTTGTTTCTGCCAGTCCCTCATGCACATTTCGGGAACTCCGAACGACCGCGATGCGGCCCGATTTCCGTCCGTTTCTGCACGTGCGATGACTTTTTCATTCTTTTAAAGGGAGGTGCTACTCGAAAAACGATTTTCTTTTATAAGAGTCTGAATTTAACACAAATTGGCATGCTACTAGAGTTCTTTCTCCTCTTTTCAAATATGTCATTTATTTTCATGTAGATTGCTTGGTTTTCTTTCTGCAGGTCAGATACTGCAAAATTATGGCCATTGTTATGCAACAATTCTGACCTATAAAAATTTGAGATAAAGCATGAAGATATGGCTGACTATGATCCTTTGGAACTGTAGAGTGCAAAAAACTATATAAATTTTGTGTGTAAAAAGGTGAAATACAATAATAAAATAGAAAAATTTACTATGGCTCTAGTTGCCAAGGGCTTTCAATGTTATGTAATTTTTGAAAAACATAATCAAGCAGCACTGACAATCTGAATAGATACTTGCACTCTATGGGCCTTCATTATGCTATGTGCAAAATTTCATAGAGGTATGACAATTCTAAGTATACGAACTAGCATGTATAAGAAGCACAGATCACACAAAACTGCAAAAGAAGAAAAACGCATTTGAAAATTTGAAACCTTTTTTTTTTATCACAGAGTTGTTAGAAATGCATAATCTTTGGTGTTCAACAGAACTTTGAAAAGCACTGCAAGTTACTAGAACTGTCCTGCAGCATAGGTTGTGCCCTCACGGTCCTTGCGAGCACTCTCTTCTAGCCGTGCCCTTTTCACTCCACGACGACGGTGGGCCCTTGCTTCTGCTGTCAGATGCTCGGACATTTTCTTGATGCGCCTCGCATCGCGGGAATCACTGAAAGTAACTAGATCTCTAGATGGCAGTATGTTGAGCTCTTCCAGGATGTGCTCGAAAGTAGCATGACCCTTGTTGAACCACAGGATTGCCAGAGCTGCGGCAGTCTCGACAACCGTTCGGGAGACAAACTTAGTCTTGGGGCAAACTAGCCAAATTTTGCTGTTTAGGGATTTCGATGTGTTCTGGGTTTTCCCTTTGATGCATCGAGCAAGGAGCTTCTCATCCGTTAGCCGCTTATAAATGGGCAAAACAGCCAATCCCTGTGCTTTTGTCAGGAGAGGTGTGTGGCGTGGTGCAGGTTCACCAAGTGCTTCAGCGCGTTGATGTTTGCACCACGACTCTGTTCCTGCAGGGCAAAACTTGTGGCTGCCAGTATTGTCAGTAGAGCATGAGTGGAAGTACGAAGCCCATACTGCAGTGTACATATCCCGTACACTCCCCCTGTTGCTTGTTATGGCAATCTGATAGTATGTTTGGAAGCTTCTGAATGGCTGGCTCTTTCATTTTCTGCCTTCGTGGTAATGGCACATGCAGCTTCCGTAGCGTGGTGCCAAGTCTCTTGGCCACATGATTAGTGCAGTCTTCTTTTTCTATATTGACAGCACCATAGACTTTTGACTGTGCAACTGCACTATATGCTTTGCTGTCACCGTCACTCAAGAATGTCATGAAATGCAGTGGGGTGTCATAAGTCAATATCAATATTCTCTGCCAAATGCGCATTGCAGCCTCCGTTTCCATGGCATGGGAGCAACAGTCTGCATTTTTCTCACAGACTGGGCCATGGAATGCCTGCCACACTTCCTCGTCTGGGTCCATATTCTTGTGCCTACTGCATGTCAGGCAGTAATTTGATATGACCTCGAAGTCTAAGCAGAGGCCAGTATCTAAGGAGATAACTGCGCCAATCCCGTTGTGGCTTTTGTGGCCCCTCTTCTGCCAAGTGCCGTCGAACATAACAGCCACATCAGTTTCGCCTACTATTTCTTTCGTCAGCTCTCTGGATCGGCGCAAGTTTTCACTCACAGCTGCCATGGCAGCGGTGTGCACCTTCTTTGCTATCGAAAAACATCCTCGGTGGTGCATTGGCTTTGGGAGTCCAATAATGGAGCAAAATCTCGACAATTGCTCATGCCCAATGCCGACAGCGCGTGCAGTCACCACCGCCTTCACATTTACAGCGAAACTATCTCGGGAGCTCTCACTGTCGTACCGTTGGCTCACTCGGCTGCTGCCGTCTGCTGTAACACGCAGTGACGTATAGGAGCACGAAAGAACAGTCGCTGAGCATTCGCTGTTTTCGCAATGAAGTTCGAGGAGCGACAAAAGTCCCCTGCGCTTTTCTGCCGGCTCCCGAACGGCAAGTTTTTGAATACCGCAAGCAGGGCATGCCACACCTGCCACAAGTGCCGTCAGCAAGAGGGTGCCGCACAAAACTGTCGTTGCACAAACCTCATCGCGCTGTCTTTCGTCTTTTTCGAAGAAGCCGAGCTTCTTTTCCGAAGCACTGACGAAAGAAAGCGCAGCGTCAATCCCTTCATCGCAGCCACTGTCGCTCGCGCACTCGTCGATGCCGCCGTCAGGCCTAGCACACGTAGGCGCGTTCTCATTCGTCGCCGTCGTTCGGGGCGCTTTACACCGCCTTCCCTTGAACTTGTGCTTCGTTCGAAACTTCTGCGGTCTCACGTTGCACTTTTTTCGGGCTTGTCATCGCGGAAATATGCGTAGACGCGCAGAAAAGCAGACGGACCAAATGCCGGTGGCCGCCACCAACACAGCTGACAATGACTCGGTAGCCAATGGCGATGCGGCTTAGGGTGCCGCGCGTTTCAAACCGCTCAAACCACGTGATAAAAAGGCCTCGTTCTTTTTTTCTTTTTTTGCCCACGTACGAAACTGGAGGTCGTCGGAGCTGTAAGAATAAGGCCGGACGCAACTTTCCCAACCGATCGCGATGGCGGGCGGCACTGCGACGGGGAGCAGTGCGGTCAAAGATGACCAATATCGGCGCAAATTCACGAAATTTTGAGCCACTGCGATGCCTTCATACACATTTTTTTGCATTTTGCGGTTCGAATTTAGTTTTGAAATTTTCACAGATGAAAGAAGAAGGTTTGAAGATTACAATGCAATAAAAATCAGAAATACGAGAAATTTCGCTAAAAACGCGATTTTTCGACTCGCATCTCCCCTTAAAAGCGGCATCTTGGTGCACTCGAGTTTTTGTAGTCGGCCCTTCCATGCCGTCGATGGTAATGCACTACAAGATGATGAACTACTCAGAACACGTACGAAGTGCCGCACATGGAAACACATAGGCAGAAATAGCCGACGCGCTATGCCGACGCACATAGGGGGTGGCCATTTTGGAAAAGGCGATGGCAATAGAATGGCCTTATTCATTTTTTTTTTCGTACCCGATTCTAACACGCATGTGATTTATGAACTCGCTTTACCGGAAAAAAGATGCGCGTTATATTCGAGTAATTACGGTACTCTAAATCTCCGGCTTTGTTGCCTGCAGTTCCAGAGAGGCTTCTTCTTAGGCTAGTGCATTGCTGGCAGGAGCAATCATGTCATCGCATGCTTTGTCAGCTCACACAAACTGGCAGAGTTCGGAACAGTGGCTTCAGATGTGAAAGTGTTCACCCCCGACCACAGCACACCTTTCCTGGTTTGTTGCACTGATGCACATGCTTCTTTGGCACATTTCTCGAGTTGCTATTACAATGCTTTTGTTTGGGTCTAAAGAATGCATCAGTTAGCACCACACCTGTTTTCCTTGGTACACTGACTGCTTTAGGTACGTGGTAATTCTTTAAAATAAACAAGTGCACTTCAATCGTGCTCCAAGTTAATAAATTTGTTTATATTATATGCTGCGCGTCTTAGTAGCACATAATTTTGTATGCATTATCCGAATCCCCGGGTAATTTGCACACCCCCTTCTCGGGGCCCCAAAATCACGAAAACAGTGTGCAAATTATGCGAGTAAATATGGTGATACAAAAAAATCACAGCACTAGCAAGATAAAACATAACAGGAAACAATCACAGGAAGCATTGTCTATAAAGTATAGTAGTCAAGCAAAGTTCAGATTTTATACAAATAATTAGTTGACATATCAAGAAGAAAAAAAGAAAAAAATGAAAAGTGACACTAAGGTGTTTTAAAATGATGAATTAAGATACAAGAAAGATTACTATGACACTAAGGGCATACAGCTGTAGTGGCAGACTTATTTAGGCTTCCCTGGCCAGATAACTAGTCAAAGCGTCGAAGGAAAGTATTACTGTTATTTAGACATGTGATGCTATCTTGCAGGGATTTCAAACATCGGACAGCACATGGAAGTGCTGTCCGATTTTCCTTAACATGTGAAGGGTGCAAGTATCTGCTTCATATTTTGATGTCGACTGTATAATTATTACGAACCTAAAGTAAGCAGTTAGAATGGGCTGAGGGTTCCTAGAATTTTTACGTCACAATTTTTCTAGACCATCAAAATGTTTTACACGCACTTTCTTGATATTTATTTGCATTCTACTGTTAATGAAGAGGAACTCAGAACTATGAATGTTTCGTGGCATAAAAAGTTTGTCTAAAAGGAACTATATACACTGTTGTGACACAAAACAAAATCTGTGCAACTTACTATAAAACTAATTACTTATTTAAAATTAATATAGAAGCTTATATATACAGCCAGAAATTCATAGCCCAAGGCAACAGATTAAATGCATCTTTTTGTGTTGTTTTCAGTGTGTATCGCCACGCATTGTTGTGGCCATCAGGTTTCAGCATATGTGTTTGTGGTGACCATTTCAGGTCGAGGCCCCGTTTGTGCCGAAATGCAAAGGACCTGGCGATACGAGCAATTTCGACGAGTATGAAGAGGAGGCCCTGCGCATATCGTCGACGGAAAAGTGCGCCAGGGAGTTTGCCGAGTTCTAGGCTGAGTGTTGCACGGGAGAGATAGGACCGGGGAGCCGACGACTAGGGGAGGCGCTCCTTCACATTATTTTGTCCCTGGCAGTGAGAAGCACCTGCGCTGCCTGGCACCTCCCACGGGCGATGGGAAGGAAAGAGCAGACAGATCGAGGCACAAAGGCTAGGATGATGATGTCCGCGGCGCCTACTCGCGCAGGTTTTTTTCTCTCTGATAAACTGGCGCTGGGCCAATCTTCGGCAGCCACGACCCGTGTGTGTTCCCTGGATGTCAGCGCTGCTTTCTTCATTCCCCCCTTCACAACCCCAAAGTCTCCTCTGCCGCGTTGGCTCTCCAGGCATGCATGTCTGTTCGTGTCCTCTTGGGTGCACCCTCTGCTTCTCCCCTCTTTTTTGGTCTCTCATCATTTTCTCTTGCTGTCTGTCCCTGCGTGCAGGCTCCTGGCATAAAGGCTAGCGACATTGTCTAGCCGGGAGGCACAACCACTGCAGGTGTTGGGAAACCCGCTCTTGCTGGGACACCATTTCTCATCGTGGAACAAAGTGACATTATCGTGCAGAGCCAGCAGAGGCTGCCCACTGTAGCTTTCTCGCTTCCAGCGAAAAGCGACCCAGGCTTTGCAGATTGCCTGCTAGCTCGGGGTTCCTGCCACTCCCTCTATCAGTGGTTGCCGAGAAACTTTGTTTCTGGTGTGGAACAGCATTTCCCTAGGCTTCCTGACCATGCACACGTTAGAGGAAAACGGTTCCCAGCATTTCTCACGACCCCAGCCATTTATGCTGTGCTGGCTTTGGCACTATCTCCACTTGTATAGCAAGAACCCATTGCTGCGTTTCTTTCTCTCCTAGGCATTACCATAATGGTGAATGAAGCATATTTTGGCAGAAATGGAAAAAAAAAGCATGGGAACGTGCCCTGCTTCGAGGGCCAGGCACTTGCATACAGTGACCATACTCTTTCTAGGCAGCCACTGAGCTTCTGAGAGGCAAATGAGAAATTTTAAAAAGTGATACAAAAGAGGTTTCAGCATGTCTGTATGTGTGCGTGCAAGCGTCTGTAGTCTCTTGTGGCGGCATTTTATTTCTTTCTATCTCATTGTTTTGTCTCTGTGCATGAAGTGAGTTTGGCAATGCCACACATACTCTAAATCTCCGGCTGTGTTGCCTGCAGTTCCGGAGAGGCTTCATCTTAGGCTAGTGCATTACTGGCAGGAGCAATCATGTCATCCCATGCTTTGTCAGCTCACACACACTGACAGAGCTTGGAACAGTGGCTTCAGATGTGAAACTGTTCACCCCCGACCACAGCATAGCTTTCCTGGTTTGTTGCACTGATGCACATGCTTTTTTGGCACATTTCTCGAGTTGCTGTTCCAATGCGTTTGTTTGGGTGCAAAGAATGCATCAGTGAGCACCACACCTGTTTTCCTTGGTACACTGCCAAGTCACGGGCTCCCGCATTGCAGTACGAGAGCACATTACAAATGTTCTGTTTGCTCTTGACAGGTCCTTTACCATCCTTAAAAGACTGCCTTTTTCTGCCGGACTAGTGTATTGGATATAATGTCTGCCAAATTGCATCACAAATGGACTGTTGGCGAGATGCATGTGTAGGCATGTGGCCGCCAACCTGCCAATCAGTTGGCAAGAGTTTGGCTCGGTGGGATGTCATGAACACAGCGCAGATTCTGACCGGTTGCCGCGATGGCTGTCTCAGAATAAAAATCTTCAAGTATGAATAATGGAGCTGATGATATGTGGGTGTGCCATTCGTTGTCCCGGTGTTTACTTGCCTGCGTAGCCAGCAAACACACTCGCAATGACGTGGCTGGCACCCCTCTACAGGCTTTCGTATAGCGTTGCCTGTTCTTCCATTCTGGTTCATTCATTTATGCCTGTCTCTGCACTGCAAATCCAGGGCTGCCTTGGATCTTTTCCGTGTAGCTTGGAATTTCGTTTAGTTTTTATTGCCCCCATTGATGGCCACGCCTGTAAATACAGGGATGTATCTGTTTTGGTATATGCAATACTAACTACACAGGCTTTCCTCTGGAACTAAACACAATTCTCCCGTTGTTCCTTCCTCGGCGTGTTTCTTGGGTTGTTTCATGCAAGGTAGGACTGACTAGCTTTCTTGGTCTCACGGGGTTGTGCTGCTTCTCTTTTCAAGCCCCCATATAATGAGCACGCCGAATGCACATGCCCAGGCCTTTTTCTGTGAGAGGCCAGTTTAAAGGATGGTGGCACAGTTAGATGTGTGTTTATTTACCAAAATGCCAGAAGTTTGTGTAAGAAAGTGGTAAACATTTCTTTGTGTAATAATACCGTGGGCCATGCTTGCTGGGCTTTTTCTTTTTCATACCCTTTTGTAGGTCTTTGATCATCTCTTGTGGCTGTTGCGTGTCATGCCTGTCCCTCTGCATACTCACTTGGAGAGAAGGAGAAAAATGCAAGGCGTCGATCCTTTGTCTGCAGATCATCCGTTTTTTATGTAACCCGATCGAAGACCTCTCGAATTTTAATCATGTGTGCAGTTAAAGGATTTGCAATTAGTTTACTCCTTTGTTTTAGTTTATTGTTACTGGCAATCGTTCACCAAATTCTTTATAATATAATTCTCTGTTGATTAGATTTGGTGTTGGATTGTGTTGCTCTTATGTTTGTCAAGAGCCGTATCTGCAATACTTTGCTGCAGCTCGTTTGCAATGTTTTCCCTCATTCTCAGTTCGACATTTTAAGTAGGTGAGCTTTACAAGACTTCAACATTTGCACATGTCTGTTCATGGTGTCAGAGAGCTAACACTGAGTCTGTTAAATCACTTGTGATGCAAGCAGATAATTATTCTTGCATTGTAATATTTTTTTTAAATCCCAGTGGGAATGTTTCTCCTGAAGCTTTATGAGTTTTTAGTGCTGCACATGTTGTCATTTTCAAGCTCGTGTTTACTTTTCTTTGACGAATGGATTAACTATCTTAAAGGCTCTCAGTGTCGTAAAGGTTATTCTTTTTCCTCTTCTTTTGAGGATGATGTAGGCAACCAGTATTCGAGCACGTGGAACTGATGACATTCATTACAAGCTCCATGGTGTGTTGCTTTAGATTGTACTGCTGTTTGCAAAAGTTTGCGGGAAAAGTTTGCGGGGTGCAGATGTGGCAAAAGCAGATTTTTTTTTACATACTTTGTGGATGCCTAAATGTGGATTTTTGTTAGTGGCATATGTTAATGCAGACTGCAGCTAGCAATCTAGGGATGCATGCAGGGTGAAAAGCTGTCTGACACCCTGTGAACTTTTGCTGTCAACAGTGCATTAGTGGACTTCCCTTGTGTTTCTTCAAATGGGAAAGTATCAGGCAGGGAAGAAGTGATTCAGGAGCTTGTAGTATTTGAATGGTTACTAACTGTCTGCTTTTATTAGTTCAAGTATTTTGGGAATAGCTTAGGTCGTCACTGTGCTGGGCCAGTTCAAATGACGGAGAGCGAAACTATGCGCCTGAGTTTTGTTTTTCTCATGATGTTGCTTCATCTTAGGTCATCTCGTCTCATAACTGTGTTGTCTTTGCTTTTCCTGTCATCCCCCCTGGTTCCAATGTGATCGTGTCCCGCACTTGCAAGAATTTAGCAAAAGTTTGTTTTTGATGTTTGCCTCAAGGTGTCTTTTTATCTAGTCCAGCCCACAGATTGATATATATATATATATTATACAAACACACACACATACACATGAAAATACTGAGGATATCGCAGAGAGAGCAGTTCAAAGATTACTAAAAAGCTTAAATGTCTTTTCTTTTTCCTCCCCTTTGGTTGTTTCTTTTTTACCCACCCCCATACACCTCTGCTCTCCCTAGTTCCGCAAAACCCCCATGCTGTCATTCGTTGCTTGCAAATTTTTAGCCTTGTATATTTGTTAACTTGTGGTTGGAGCTGTTCTTGTATTAAAAGTTGTTATACTAAATACATACACTTGTGCTCTCTTGTGTAATAAAGTCACAGGCTTCGGGCACTGTGCACTTGACTGTGTAGTAGACGTTTTCATATACATATTCAAATCCTGCTGTATCATGTATTGTTGAATAGCATCAAACCCTCAATAATTTGGTTATAGTCTCTACCCAGCTAATTCTGACTCTAACGAAGCGTGCCAAACATGTCGATTGTGTGACACAAAGGAACAAAAACATAATATTTGGATAGCCGGTCACACAAAGGAACAAAAACTTAATATTTGGATAGCCGTATTGAAGTGGTGGAATTGCAAACAAATGGTAACATTGTTTCTGGTGAATTTCTGGCTAGTACATTTTATATTAGTCAAGACAGAAAAATCTTGAGCCGTAGTCACATAGTAACAAAGTCGCAAATGCCGGAAATTGCTGCTCTTATCCGAAGTAAGTGCAGGATATATGTGTTTGTCAAGAAAATGAAAGTGTGTTGACATAGTGACATATGTTTGCTACTGACATTTTGTATGGTCTCACGATATCCAAATTAAGCATTAACTGTACACATTTTCATTTTGTCATATTGAGCCACAAATCTCAAACATTGCACATGCTTCCACTATCCCTCATTTGTACAGCTAAACACACTTTTCTAAATTTGGGTTGATCCCAAATGAGATAGCTTGGTTTGGTTGAGAAAGTAGGGCAGCCTAAAGCCATGCACAATGTTTGAGGTTGCAACTCGTGAGGCCACTGCAGTCATGGCGAGCGAGAGTGATTTGCTACTACAGACTGGATTGCCATCTACAAGAAAGAGGTTGCTGGTGCATGTACGGCAGCACCAGCAACTGCTGGTGATCCCCCCTCGGGAGGTGTCTGATAGGGGTTCTCTAGGACCAAATCAAGTTTATTTCACCTAACATAACACAAAGGTTTTTCGACGCACCGCCATTACGTTTAAAACGTGCGCCCTTTTTAACCATTTTTCTTGCTTGGCATGTGCTGCCACGCTTTGGGAATACGTAGAATATTTTACAGCGAAAGCTGTGACGTGTGGCGCCGTAGTTGTCCGCCGTCGCCGCCGCCGGTGTCTGTAACCACTTCGCGCAAAATTTAAAAAAAAATCTACTACCAAGGACACGTTGGGGCTCAAACCTGGATCTGCTGCTTGCCAGCCCTGTAATCTACCATTCAGTCACCCTGGTGCTTTTATTTAATGCATAAATTCATTTGGGATTTGTTCGCAAACTTGCCTCAGGCAGGCTCGATGCCGTTTTAGAACAGCAAAAGAACGACCAGGCGTCCCACAATGCAATAGCGTAACGAGTGGGTCGTCCAATGCTTCACCCCATCACAAAAGCTTGTTCTTGATCACCAATTAACTGTGGTGCACACCCATTTCGGGCATAATTCCTCATCATCGTCAGGCACTGCATGACCAATTTGCCCAAAGTTCCTTGCTAGTGTTACTTCTCTGGAGAATGGCAAAGAATAACATAGCGATTGCCATTGTACTACCCGAAATTTTTTATTATTAATGCCGTAGGCGGAAGTTGGGAAAGCAGCAAGTGGGCTTGAAGCAGTTACCCAATGAGCGCTTAGAAAATGCTATGAAAGGCAGCTCTTCTAGCATTCGACGTGACTGTGCTGCGTCTTTCGCGCAGACCGGGTGCTTTTTTTATGCAACCTTGTTTCTCCGTTCTGGGTTTTTTTTTCTCCCTTCGTGAAGCGGCGATCTGCCGGTAAACGCTTGCGCACCCGCGAAGTGCGTTCGTAGTTCGGCTGCTTTAAAACACGCGCTTTCTTCTATCAAAATGTTCTTTCAGAAAAAGGTCTGCATGCTAGGGTACAGGGAGATGACACAGCGCAGTAGAATAGTACAGTGACGCGGAGATACACGATGGTAATGCGTCGGAGCCACAAGGAGGACATTTCTGTCGAGCGGTTATACAATAATGGTACCTGCAGCACCTTACCATTTGAGGCAAGAGCTGGGGCCCTACGGACACTGGTTAAGTACCACCACAACGAGACATCTCCAGATGTCGTCACGGTAGTGGGCAGAATGCGTTAGGATGAGGATGCCGGCCCCCTCCTCTTGCACTGCACAGGCCACTGTCTTGCCGACATGCCGAAGAAATCGACTTCTCGACGGCCCTGGGCTTCACCGACTTTCCTAGTAACGTCTCCAGCCCAGCGACACGGTGGGCATGGCGTCAAGAACCAAGGAGATTATGTGCGAATGGTGGATACAAACGCAGTGACAGCTACTGAGCTACAATCGGATAAAACTTGACGGCCGAAGCGCGGCAGCTGATCGTCTCCGCGAGTGAAAAAATAGTTCACCGCTCATGTGCTCGGCAATGTTCCCGTAAGGCGGAGTCACCGGAAGTCCAGCTCTTGACTTCAGCCTGGATTGCACGCCTGTTGGCCTTGTGTGCATACGCCGTTGAGAAGGAAATGCCACGGATTGCTACAACTGTGTCCGACTAATAGACACACCGGTGCTGTGGAAACGACATGTACTAGAAGGGTACGAGAGACATGTGCAGTGCTCGAATAACGTGCTTCCTGACTACGTGTATAATTTATTTTTTTTTTCAAAATTTTCATTAGGCTAGGGCAGTAATATAGAGACCGTCTAGTAGGGGCGTAGGCATAGTTTTTTTCGGGAGAGTGGGGTACTTTCTTTAAATGGTCATTTCTCGCTCTGTATGCCATGGCGAAACAAAATTCTGGGGGGGGGGGGGGGGGTGCACGGACCCGAGCTGACACCTTTCTGGCTACACCAGTGCCACCTTACAGAAATAGTCATTGGCCACACATACCACCACAGCCGCCACCACTACCGCCACCACTATCATCATCACCACCCCTAGAATGGGGCAATAAGTTCTTTTCGCAGCAAATCAATAAGAAAACGGTGGTCACTCATGCGATGACGCCAACAGGAGGGCGCCCATCTTGACCGCAGTGCCCGGTGCACGAAAATTTAAAATCCACAGCGAGAAATTCGCTGTGGTTCTTCAGTTGTCCATAACACGATTAAAACAAGAATTATCATGATATAGAACAGGCACTTTGGATGCACTATTGCAATAAAGTTGCTTCTGCGTCATCGCAGCTATCGCAGAACGGTACCCGAGATCGTCTGCATGTCTACTGTTTTCATTGCAGAAGGCATAAAAAACACTTCGCTGTTCGTTCGGTGCATACGTACACATGTCTTGCTACCAAATTAACATGAGTTTATACGACGAAGCACAAAAGGAAATCTGGACCCTAAGGATAACATTAACAGCATCAGGTGAGTTCCACGACCACTCATCACAGGCATCAGCCACAATGGTCGCAAGGTTTTTGATAGAAAAACAATTATGGAAGTTTCGCGCTAGTGTTGACTGAAGGAAGAGTGGGGCTGCAGGGTGACCTTTCTCGTTATTCCTTTCTTCTCTTCATCGCCATTTATATCTTTATTGCTCTTTCTTCCTTTTCTTTCTCTCTTATTGTTTCTGTGTATTTGTTTCTTTATTTCTGTTTACGTCTTGCTTTATGCTTCTTGCTATCTCTTTTTGGTCTCTTTCTTTCTATCTCTTTCTATCTCTATGTTCTTTTCTGTATTTATATATCTTTCTCTATGTGTGGTTCTTTCTATATCCTTGTTTGGGGATTGTGCTCTGGTGTTTTTTCCTGCCTCTTTTCCGTGTATGCGCCTTCCTTTATCTTTCTAGCTTCTTCTACGTTTTTTCTCGGTCTTTGATTACCTTTGTTTCTCTGTAATATTTTTTTTCTTTTCTTTGTCGGTTTCTCAGGCTCTCTCTCTCTCTCACGTGGTTCGCGTGCTCCACTTGGCCGAGCAGAAGTTTCATTTAACGCTCGCACACGCTGGACTTGGTAGGGCGATTTGCCACTTTCCTGTAGTGCATACCCACCTGCGGTTTTCGGCAAACACCAATGTTTGTACATCCGGCATAAGCAGCTCCGCTGTTAAAAGAATAACGCTCAATTACGGATGTTGATCCATTTCTGTAGATATTTTAGTCAGCAGATAGGCGCAATCAGCAGTAATGCACATATAAATTCTCCGCGATGTATTTGCGGTGTTAGAATTATCGTGTGTGAATAAGGACGGAGTTCCAGTCGATCTGTGAGAAATCCAATGCCTCAGCCTTCCGCAAACAGCATATCGCTCATGCACACAAAAACTTTGTTAGCGCATCATGAGAAACAAAAGGCAATCGTCGAGGTTTCCACGCACACGCACGACCACTGCGCGGCAACTATGGCTACTGATATTGGAGATTTTGTATCTTCGACTATCATAAATTACTTTAAAGTTCAGCAACATACGACGGCACAGTTTCCCAGGGCGCTCTAGCACAGCAGGTCGTCGTGCGAAAAAAAAAAGAAAAAAATCAGAGTACATCCACGGAGTGAATGATGATGAGTGGGGCGAAGAATGCATCCGTGCGTCCGTCCGTCCGTCTGTCTGTCCGTGCGATGGACGGACGCGGCCAGCGGATGATTCACGGTTTGCCGTTAAAACCCTCTGAAGCTTCGCCCCACTCATCCCCATTCACTCCGTGGATATGCTGCGAGGTGGTTACTACATACATGCATACATACAGAGGACGAGCGACCCACACTTTAAGGAACTTCGCCCCTAAAAAAATCTCGTTTGCGGCACCAGACTACAAAATTCCTGTACACCATGTCAAGATGGTTCGAGATTGTGCATGGTCGACGCAGCAGATTGCGCCTGATGGCGTGTCATGTGTGACGCAGTGCCTCGCCGCCTGCGTTTCCTGATGGCAGGTATTCATGTGACAGTTATTTTAAATGTGATGAAACGTTAGCACCGTTCTTCACTGCATATTCAGGCCTTAGCTATATCTGAACTGAAAATTTTGGTAGACGTATATAGTTTGCCCCTGCATGCTACAATCACCCCTGACATTTTTCTGTTTTATGGCTCTCTGCGCCGAAGCATGGTCGCATCGAGTGCAAAAGAACGATAT